TCTGAAATAGAACGCTCTCTCTGAAGGATTAGCTGAAAAGAGAAGAAATTGGTGGTGGTGGGTGACTAATTAGAAGATTTTTATAATAATCCAGGACAAAGATGAGATAGTAAAGCAAGATGGCAGGGGAAGTGGAGCAATGGGGATGTTTTAAGCATGTTATCGGGGTAAATGGAGGCAATTTAGCTTGAGTGGGAAATCAGAATTATTGGTGAGAGCTGACAAGGGCTTTGTAGGGAAAACACTGCCAAATGTTAAATGCAAAGAGCAAGGGGATGAAGAAAGCTAAATGGAGTTTAGAAGTTGAGGGGGTTGGGAATGGGATGGATGACTTAGAGCCTAGGTGAGAGTCTGGCCAAGGATAGAGGGTGAGAACTGGGGCCGTGGGTATGCATGTGTCCTGTAATTCCTCTGTCAGGTGGTTCCCGTGCACATTCCTGGGACAGCATGGAAACCTTTGAGTAAGAGAGTGTGAACAACTGTTGTCTGTCTTCAACAGTCCCATCAACTGAGGGCAGGAATTTTTGGAAAAATGTTAGATGAAGGAATGATTCCCTAGAGATAAACTCTGAAAATAAGTGGGTTGAATTCTCTGTGGGCACAGGGGTGGAATCTAAGGCTTTCAAAGTGAAAGCTAATGTTTATGTATAAAATATTTCTGAAGAAATAGATCATAGCAGTTGTTTCTACTGAAGGGAAGTGGATGGCTGGGGAATGGGAAGGGAGGAAGACTTTTCTGTGTATAACTTTTTGTACATTTTGAATTTTGAATGAACTGCATTTAACATCTATTCAAAATAAAAGTTTTAAAACAGGAAGCTGAGGAAATGTATTGGAGAAAAATACTTATCACCCCTTCACACATCTGTATGTATTTTCAGGTGAGACACCCCTGCTTAGACAGCCCTGTTTGTTCCTGTAGGGGAATAAACTAGTTTGCCCCCTACTGTCCTAAGACCACTGCACCTTCTTAAAGTGTACTGAGTCACTTCTCTGCCCTATTTTCAGCTCAGTGAGAGCCACCTTCCTCCCTGACTGGAAGAAGAGACAGAGGAAATCCAGTTCTTGAGGGTTTAATTTAATAGGTTCAATCCCTGTGACAGTATGTCATTCTGAGTGAAATTACCTGGGATAGAGGTAGAGACAGGAAAAGGATAAAGAAGAGCCCATATTTACAGGAAAAATATACAGTCTAAATTTACAAGCTTAAAAAAGAACATCCATATCCCCTACATTTTAGGGTAGGACTTGGAGCCAGAGTCTCAGAACAGGAAGCCACAGACAACCTCTTTACTGTCAATACCATGAAAGTACAGGTGAAATATTACAGGCTCAGAATCTAGATTTAGGGCTGTAATTTCAGTTCTACCCCTAATGTTGTGCGACCTTGGTCAAGTGGCTTCCAAAATCTAAGTATCAGTATCCTTTTCTACAAAATTAGCTGATTGGATGTATAGATGAACTCCAAATATTCTTTCAGTTTCCACATCTTATAATTCTAAATCTTAGCTGGGCTTGCCATATAGTTCTGTAGCTTCTCCTAATAGCCATTTCACTACTGGGCTTTCAACATTTGTTTCTTAGCTCTACTTTCAACTTTTAGTTTCGGGAGGTGAAAGCTAGAGGAGGAATAGTAGGAATTGGTGGGTATTCAATCTTTGTGCCTGGGCCACAGGGTAGGAAGCTCTGGTTGTCGTTTCAGCAATTATTCCTTCATAACCTGGTCAATTGGAGATAATTTTGTCTTTTTCTCCCCCCCCAATTTCTTTTTCTGAGAACTCTTTTGTCTTCTTCCCTTGCAAACATCACCCTACCCCTAAACTCCTGCTGTTCACTGGCCTATACTCATATATTGATTGTTGTGACTGAATTATAAATATAATGATTATTTCAACAAATAATTGAGCACCTACTATGTACTAGATAAGCAGTTTTCAAACATTTTGGTTTCAGGACCCTTCTATATGCTTAAAAATTGAGCCCCCCCCCCACAAAGCTTTTGTTTACATGGGTTTTATCTATAGATATTTACTGAATTAACAAAGTAAAACTGAGAAAAATCTAAGCTATTGATTTTAAAATAGCAACAGTAAACCTATTACATGTTAACAACATAAAAAAAATAAAAAACAACTATATATTCAAAATGAAAAAAGTGAGAGAAGTAGCAATGTTTTACAAATCTGCAAATCTCTTTATGTTAGGCTTAATATAAGACAGCTGGAATCTCGCATGCTTGGTTCTGCATTTAATCTATCATTGTGGGGTTTGCAATAGTTTCCTGGGGCTGCTGTAACAAATTACCTTGGTGGCTCAAAACAACAGAAATGTAATCCCTTATAGTTTTGGAGGCCAGAAGTTCAACATCGGTCTCACTGGTTAGAAATCAAGGTGTGCTCAGGGAAGCACTCCCTCTGGAAGCTCGAGAGGAAAATTCATTCCTGCCTCTTCCAGCTTCTGGTGGCTGCTGGCATTATTTGTGACTACTTGTTCCAATCTCTGCCTCTGCCTTTACATCAATTTCTCCTCTTTTGTGTGTGGTGGCTAATCTCCCTCTACCTCTCTCTTTTTTTTCTTTTTCTATAAATTTATTTATTTATTTATTTTTGGGCTGCGTTGGGTCTTCGTTGCTGCACGCAGGCTTTCTCTAGTTGCGGTGAGTGGGGGCTATCTTTGTTGTGGTGCAGGGGCTTCTCATTGTGCTGGCTTCTCTTGTTGCGGAGCACGGACTCTAGGTGCGCAGGCTTCAGTAGTTGTGGCATGTGGGCTCAGTAGTTGTGGCTTGCGGGCTCTAGAGCTCAGGCTCAGCAGTTGTGGTGCATGGGCTTAGTTGCTCCGTGGCATGTGGGATCTTCCCGGGCCAGGGCTCAAACCCATGTCCCTTGCATTGGCAGGCAGACTCTCAACCACTGTGCCACCAGGGAAGCCCTGCCTATCTCTTATAACAACATTTATGATGGCACTTAGGGCCCACTGGGATAATCCAGGATAACTTCTTTATTGCAAGATCCTTAATTTAATCACATCTGTGCAAGTTTTACTATATAAGATAACATTCACAAAGTCCAAAGATTAGGATATGACCATATCCTTGGGAGACAGTACCAGCCTACCACAGGTTGGTATGCTGTTTGAAGTTTATGAAGAAAACCTGGTCTCACACAGATATGTAGTTCAGGAAAAAAACAGTATTTTAATAGCCTTTTCAAATAATTGTGGATGTTCTTTTTTGATACCATACCAAAACTCAACAAGCAGTAGTTTCTTAAAGGTTTGTTGCAATTTTTAATTATATCAGTGAACTTTTTGTATAGGGTTACATTAAAATCATTGGTCTATATTCATTTTAAATAGATCTTCAGTCCGTGCATAATTTTATAACATCATGCATTGATCATTTGGAAAATATTGTTTCATTGAGTTATACAGATCTTCTGAATACTGACACTTTTAATTATACACTGTCAAAAAATAACATTCATTAATATCACCACTGATCTTGTCAGAACAGTTCTTACATATTAGAGATTACTAGACTCCTGGTAGCAGATACACATTTTTCAAAATTCCAATTTACTCTTGAAAGTTTGAATTTTATTAGTGGTAATGAATACTGTCAGTTATTTCTCTTGAGGCAACAGACTCACTGCTCATTTTCAAGAAAGCCATTGTTTGTTAATCATTATTTCAATTAAAATTGTATTCCATGAAGAAAAGTGGCTGGTTCAGCTTTCAAGTCAAACTGCACCAGTGCTTTTCCTTGAGAAACCTTGGTTACATGTCAGAACTGCTTTATGTGTACTCCCCATTTTGTCACACACAGTATTTAAAAGAAATGTACTCAAGGGTTGATATTTAATAAAATTAAAAATTCTTACTGCTTCATTAAAGATATTCTTTTGTGAAACTGGCTTTTTTTAAAAATGTGAGTGTCAGTGGTGAAGAGTACAGTTGGGAGCCTCTGCCTTGATTTGTGCCAAGATGCCAGCAGTTTTGCCCAGTATTGCTTTTATACAATTAGTGCAAATATCAGCACAGTTGTTCCAGAATAAACTATGAAATTAAAAAAAATTGTACAATGTTTTATTTCAGCATCACTTTAGTTTATTGCCAGGCATTTATATAGATCTTCAAGTATTAGCTGGTGCTGCCACCTGACAGATACAAGCAAAGCAACAAGACTAGCTACATCTATAATTATATAATTTTTGTCCATCTTAAAGACAGTATAATTCTGCAGATAGGATATTCACCCAGTCTTTATGTTTGCAATGGAATTTCTAATTTGGTGAGTTACTGCATCTTTGGAAAACAGCACTGCCATGATTTCTTTGACTTATTTTTCATCTAGCAGACATTCACTCAGTAATGTACAGGCTTTATTAGTCTTTCAGCTATCGTATGCCCTTCTCCAGCCAGTGCAATACAATAATTTAACCTGTAAAATGCTTCAGCTGGTTTTTCATTTCTACTTTGAAAAGTGGTAACAAAAAAAGCTTTGGCTTTTAAAGAGGTTATCATTTTAATTTTTTATTTTTTCTAATTTTTTATTTTTTTTTAGGTTATCATATTTTAAATATTCAATTTTCTTTAAACTCTGAATGATTGGTCTCAAAATGATGCCTCAACCTACCTGGCACCATAATAGTGCTTGAAAATATTCTGTTGAATAAGACAAAATAAGGTAAATCATTAACATCTCTGGGCTTCCCTGGTGGTGCAGTGGTTGAGAGTCCGCCTGCCAATGCAGGGGATACGGGTTCGTGCCCCAGTCCGGGAAGATCCCATATGCCATGGAGCGGCTGGGCCCGTGAGCCATGGCCGCTGAGCCTGCGCATCCGGAGCCTGTGCTCCGCAACGGGAGAGGCCACAGCAGTGAGAGGCCCGCGTATCACAAAAAAAATAAAAATCATTAACATCTCTAACATCGAGGAAAAGAAATAAGCTTTTGTCACATTTTCCTTTCTTATTTACAGTTTCACCCAGATTATTCCCTTTACCTGACTCAGAATCCTCTGATATTGATGTCAATATCATATTTTTCAGCATCTTTAGATGTGGGAGATTGAGAAAGCAGGTCTTCTAATCTCCCTCTTGTGAATCAATGAAAGAATCTAAAATAAAAAAAAATTATAAACAAAATTTTATTTTAGAATAAAAGATTAAATTCTAAAAAGTAACAGTTTTGGAAAAAATTTAAATATTTAGAAAAGTTTTCAATAAATTAAAAATATTCTTGCAAAACAAGTAAACAAAATGAACTTTTTTCTTGTGTTTCTACACAGGCACAAGGAGAATTTAGGGATTTCAAAATACCATTTATTAGATGATTAAATGAGGAGAGATAAGTATAAATGAATGTTGACAAAATTCTTTCTTAGGGAGAAATGGAAACTTTTATTTGAGCCAACTGAGGATTACCACCTGGGAGACAGTCTCTCAGAGAGCTCTGAGAACTGTTCTGAAGAGGTAGAGGGGGAGGCCAGTAGTATATGTGACTTTGGCGTAGGGGTATGTGCAATCAAGCATTCATTCACCTTGGTAGAAAGTTACTGCTATTTCCGAGGAACAGATATATTAGTTAATGGTTTTAGTGCTTTTCTAAGTATAAGAAGATGCTGGGTTCATAAAATTTTCTCCTAAAAATATCTAACTATCTGAGGGCCAGTTCTGTCAGTTTTCCAGAGCACAAAGTGCCTCATGCTGAATTCTTTTCAGGGTATATTGTAGGTCAGCAACTACAGCGGCTGATGACTTGATTTTTGTATAACTGGATGATAGGTAACATTCTTTATTTTACAATCCCTTCCCTTTTGGTCTTACTTTTGACTAAGATTTGGGAGTCATTTCATGACCAATTTGTCCCATGGTGCTAGGAATGCTCACTCCCAGGTCAGACAAGGATTTCATTGATATGCTCCTCACTGTGCTATTACTGGACTAGGCCCTGTTAACAGTAATCAAAAGCCTCTGTACTGCCTGTCTTACTAGTCTGTTACGGTCCAGGAAACGGTTCCATCTTGTTGCTTCTTCCCATATTTGGAGTTACACTATTAAGATCATTGATCTTATAGGACTATATATTTGACCAATAGTTTCAAATCACCTAATCATCATTAATTTTATCTGAGGCTCAGCCACACATTTGGTGATGCAAAAAAACAATAATCTTATAAAATACGTGGAATACAAGTAACGTTCTAAGTAAATATTTAAGCTAAGAACTTCCACTAGGTGTGGCCCAGTATCTCCCCAGGTTATCTGACCAGCCTGTTGTGCACCACCCACTATCTTTAAGGGAAATGATATACTGGCATTGTACATAAAGTCCACCAAAGTTGTCTGCACATACAAGGTGAGTGGTGGAGCACTGTGACCCCTTACAGGATTGAGAAAGGAATGTTATCTTCTAAGAGTTACATGGCTGGAGCCAGAAGAAGGAAAACTGATCTTTACGGCTGAGCAGATACTTCTGCCATTGGGGAAGTCTGGTTAATGCATGATGCAGATGCACAATGAACACTAGAGGGGAGAGAGGAGGCCCAAATGGGTGGAGAAAAATTTTATGTCTAAATTTCTCATCTTGCCTTAAAATATGAATTTTTATTTCATCATAAAGATAGCTTGTAAGAACACACTAGAAGTACTGAGGACAAACTGAGTTAAACTCTGAAAACTTATACCCTAAACCTTAGACGAATCTATAAAATACAAGAGTAGTACTCAAGCACACACTTCATCAGTCAGTTGAGAGGTTCTAAGTCCTCTATCTTGAAAACTTCTCTATATGCTCTGGAAAGGATAAGAGTGAAAACAACAAATAACATTTAAGTAATATTATGAATATAATTTTGACTTCCTGGATCCTTTGTTAGGGTCTCCTTCAGAACTCACCAGACCACATTCTCAAAAGCACTGCACTAGATTCTGTTCTAGATGGAAGCTGAGGTGACAGCAATGAATAAGACAGGGAGATACATATTTATGTAGTGGCAACTGCCATCAGTTCTAGAATGCAAAAGAACACAGCGTTGTGAGAGGATAGGACTGCGACCTGCTGGGCAGGAGCAGGGGGTCTGGGGGGCGCGGGGGTGGCCAACCGACCACTTCCCCTTCCTGGCTGCCTCCCCAAACCCCAGGAGAAGGGGGGCGGAGGGGAAGAGGCAGTGGCCAAGAGTCCCCCGTACGCGGCGGGCGCTGAACCCAGTAGGTTGAATCCACAGGACTGCCGCGCCGTCATTCAACACCACCAGGGTCCCCGGCACCGCCAGGGCCAGGGCCAAGCGTGGCGCCGGGGCCCAGCATCGATTCCGCCCCTCCGAGTGCGGCCGAGGGAGGTGAGCGGATTGCCGGTGGTCCCCCAGACAGTGAGAGGCCGCCGAGAGAGGGCCAGGAATGGCCACCTCCCCGTGCGGTCTCGGGCAGCGCGGAGGCGGCCAAAGGGAAAGGGAGACTTTTGCGGCCTAAGTATAAGAGGGACAGACGGCAGCGGCTACCTCAGGAGGACCCAGAGAAGCTCGGGACGCAGGGGTTGCCGTCGAAACCGGGAGCGTCCGGCCCTTCTGCTCCTCCACAGGAGGACCACGTCCACACAGGCTTGGCGCGCTTTCGCTCGCGGACTCTCGCGCCCTCCCGCGGCGTCTCTCTAGAACGACACTGTGCTTGTCCGCGCAGAACGCGAATAAAGATTTCTTTTTCAGACAAACAGGAAGTGCCTACGGTGGCCGGGGAGGCGGCGGGGCAGGGCCTGGGCATGAGGCCGGGCGGTGAGCGGAGCGCGGGTGGCGGCGGCGGCGATGAGCGACATTGTGGAGAAGACGCTGACGGCGCTGCCGGGACTCTTCTTGCAGAACCAGTCGGCTAGCGGGCCCGCGGCCGCCAAGGCGTCCTTCTCCTCCCGACTGGGCGGCCTGGTCCGCGGCATCACCGCTCTCACCTCCAAGCACGTAGGTGTTTTCCGGGCCGGGAGGTCAGGGGCGCCTCGGGGAGGCCCCCTCGCTGGGAGGCTCCGGTCCGGCGGCGAGCCTCCGGGGCTGGCATGAGGCGTGTGTGTCTGTCGGTCCTGGCGTCTGTCCGGAAGCGTCACTTTGCTGCCCGGACTGACAGCTGGGAGGCCGGGTTTCCACGGTTGGCCCTGACACTGACTCATTATTATCTGGGGCAGATATCTTTAATCTTTGAGCCTCCGTGTGTTTCTTGAACGTTGACATAACGGAGTACCAATACATATTTCATAGGTTGTTTCGAGAGTTAGATGAGACATCGAGCGTGTGAAACTACCAGGTGCCATGGAAATGTCAGCATTATTCTTCTAAAAAGTTTCTTTCGCACTCGGGTTCTTTCTGGCTCCCGGTTCTTTCAACTGCTAGATGTCATACACTAGAACAGACCCTGCCATTTGAACCTGTTGTTCAGTATATTTGGGGAGCTTGAGGTTCTTAGGTTAGACCTACGGGTTGGGCAAAGAAAAAGCATAATTCTCCCCAAATGCACTATTTGCTGAGTAAGTCTCTGCCTCAGATGGGCTTTGAAAACGAGCAGTTATAATGGAAGTTTTTAAGTTCCCACAGACTTTTCAAAGCTTCAAGGATTTTGTATCTTAAAAAAAGATCATGTGGTAGGTCAAAATCTGTTCAAAAGATATTTGTGGAAGAGACTATGTGTTAGACCCTAAAGAAACAGTGTAAAACACATTTCCTTTTCCCAAGGAATTGGTCCTTCATCTTGGGCTTAAGACAGCTGTAAGCAGTATACAATGAAATATGTGTCAGGAGAGAAGAAAAGACAGAGAAGGTTTTTCTTCAAAGTGCTCTTTGGGTTTAAAAACGTTCTTTTTTAAACTGAAATAAGATGATGTACTGGGGAGGATATGCTTCACATTCAAAAATCACAAAAAAACAATTATTTGTAGACTTGATATTGCTTGTCTTAAAATTTTGTCCTTTGCTAGTTTTTATGAGGTGGCTGAATGAAATAAAATATTTTTTTTTTTTTTTTTTTTGGCGGTACGCGGGCCTCTCACTGTTGTGGCCTCTCCCGTTGCGGAGCACAGGCTCCGGACGCGCAGGCTCAGCGGCCATGGCTCACGGGCCCAGCCGCTCCGCGGCACGTGGGATCTTCCCGGACCGGGGCACGAGCCCGTGTCCCCTGCATCGGCAGGTGGACTCTCAACCACTGCGCCACCAGGGAAGCCCAATACTTTTGGTTTTAAACTGCAGTTTGAAACTGTACATAAGGTATCTAAATGTAGCTGTACTTCACTAGCATTGTTAATTCTTGGTTAGTCACCTAATGGGCACCTGCTAATTCAATGTGTAATTTAAAGATAGCATGATATTCGTCAAAATTGGGGTCAATTTTCAAGTGCTTAAGGAGGTGAAATACAATGCAGACAGTAGAAGTAACCATATTAGTGTATTTATTATGTGTGTGTGAAAGAGAGATGGGAAGTGAGGGAAAGGATGCAAAGAATAAGGAAAAAAAGGATAGGGAAGAAGAGTATAGTTTAAGGGGAAAAGAACAGTTTCTGTTTCTGCCTTCTTACCCTGTTTCTGTATTCCATGAAGAAGGAGAAGTTGTGAGAACCTTATTCTGGGCCACTACATAAAGAATTGCTTTTCTACTTTCTCTCCACTGTTAATTTTTTTAAAAAAGGTTTTCTGCTAACCCGTCCTTAAGGGGACAGTAACTGAGTGAAGAAAAGAGGAATGGTGAGTTAGCATGAAAATATTTATTCTTTCCAGGAATGATTCTGAGAGTTGGAGAAATGCCTGTAGGCAAATCTTAAGTGCATAATTTTTGTAACTCTCCTTTAAAATAATGTATCTTTTTTATTGAAAATATTATAAGTTATATTTTTCCCTTTAAAAATACTGTTACAGTTTAAAAAGATGGTTATTCATGCATTCAAATATTTTCATTTTTTCAGGAGGAAGAGAAATTAATCCAGCAGGAACTGAGTAATCTGAAAGCAACTGTTTCTGCTCCTACTACAACTCTGGTAAGTTTGCATAGTCAGTGCCAGCACATTTTGAATTTGAAATCTGGTCCACTGTGGACTCAGTAGTGGCATTAATTGATCAGTTGCTAAAATCTAATTTATCACAGTCAAGATCAGTTATGGATGGTAACAAGTCAGACATTAATTTTAGCCTTTTATTGCTGACTGGCTGCACCAGAGCAAGACTTGCTTGACTGTTGTCAGTTCAGTGCCAACATGATGATAGTTACATAAATGTGGGACTCCTGGGACCCCAAGGCTGATCCTATTGTTTTAATGTTGTGCACTGGGAGAAGGTTAGGACACATCATTTAAAATAATATTTTCAGGGGACTTCACAGGTGGCTCAGTGGTTGGGAGTCTGCCTGCTAATGTAGGGGACATGGGTTCCATCCCTGGTCCAGGAGGATCCCACATGCCATGGAGCAGCTAAGCCCATGCACCACAACTACTGAGCCCGTGCGCCACAGCTACTGAGGCCCGCATGCCTTAGAGCCTGCACACCGCAACTACTGAGCCCACCTGCTCTAGGGCCCACGTGCTGCAACTACTGAGCCTGCGTGCTGCAGCTACTGAAGCCTGCACTCCTAGAGCTTGTGCTCTGCAACAAGAGAAGCCACTGCAATGAGAAGCCTGTGCACCGCATCAAAGAGTAGCCCCCGCTCGCTGCAACTAGAAAAAGCCCGCGCACAGCAACAAAGACCCAACGCAGCCAAAAAAAAAAATAAAAAAAATAAAAAATAAAATAGTATTTTCAGACCTGAATTGATATATTGTAAATCTCTCATTTTCTGTTACATCTTAGAATATAGGTTGGCTGACAAGGTAGAAAAGTGATTTTCTTGCTGTAAAACTGAGTATATTGCACAATAGCTAAATCAGGATCTAGTTTTTAAAAAACTTGGTTCCATATAATTTGATTTTCAAACAGCATTCATTCAGCAACTATTTAAGCTGTGACCACCATATGCAGACCACTGTAGGACTGTGGGACTGTCCCTACATAGTTAGATTAAGGCCTACTTTTTTTTTCTTTTAATTTTTATGTGGTTTCAGATAATGAGATTTTTCCAAGCAATGTTTATTCAGGAAATATTTTGTGAGTGCCTTCTTTGTGTAAGTTGCTGTGGAATACCCTTCTAATAAAAATATTGTGGTGATCATTTTGCATGAATACATGATTATGTATGTGAATAACACTTGTAAAGTCTGAGAGAATGTATATATTTCCTTTTATGGTCATAATAATATGTGGACAAATGAAACTCAAAACATAGTTAATGGGACCTATGCGTGTATGTGTATATGTATGTGTATGTATAGATATGTATATGTTTTTATGTGTATGTATAAAATCACTGTGTGTTATGATACTTGATAGAAATGTTACAGAGAAATGGCTTCTCTCTTTTCATTTAGTTTGATTTCCATTTTCTATAATTGGCATCAGTAAATACAGTTTTCATGTTACCAGGCATAAACCTGGTGTTGACAGAATTAAGATAAGTAGGTAGAAGTTAGGGAGCCAGAGTTTGAAGGAAGATTTTATAATATTTATGGTCATCCAGCTCTGGGCATACTTTACAGAATAGTCTGTCCCTGAGGTGGTCATGTAGAAGTTGGATTATAATTTGTTAAAGAAATCTTTTAGAGTGAATTCCTGCATTGGGAAAAGCATTTTCTTCTCCAAAAATAAGAGAATAATAATGTAAATGCAATAGAATTTTACTTAAAGTCCATAATGACTTTTGAAAAACTATGAGATAAAATGTTACAAAATCAGGGTTGATACTTAATGGCTTAAATGAACACTTCCACTCATTGATGTAGAAGCCTTTGAAGAGGCTTCCAGTATACTTTAAGCTTGTTTTCTCAGTGTTTAGTAGTTTTAATTAATGAGCTGATGGATTAACTTTTATTAAACACAAGGGACCTAAATTAAATCATTAAACATTATTCCCTTAAGATTTTCCTATGGTTTATTTTTAAACTCTTCATATTTACATGTACGTGTGTGTGTATATATATATATATATATATATCTATAAAATCTACTCTCTGTATATAATATATATGAAATATTAAATTTTATTCTTTAAAACATTTTATTTTACTGTTTCTTAAGCATTTTGTGATTCAGTAATCCTGTAATATATCAACCTAATTAATTTTTAGATATTAAAATAGTCTGAGCTTTTCTTATTTTGAAACACATTTATATTTTAAATTGTTGATTAAAATTTGCTATAAATATTGATGCAGATATTCTCATACTAAGAAAACAGATTTATAGAATCTCTTAAAACAAGTTATTAGCTCGTGTTGTAAATATTGAAAGATCCAGTTAAGTTAAATATTAGAATGATTATACCATTAATGAAATCATAATAGTTGTGAGAATTGTTGAAAAAGTAATGCTTATAAAACAAACTATCGCCTATTATAATATAGCACAGTAATTCTGAAGAAACTCCAGGTGCAATTTAGTCTTTAAATGTGAAAAATATTTTCATTACAGAAATTATTACCAACTTGTGGGAACTCTGTGGATGCTTTCATTTGACAAAGTATGTTAAAATGATGTGGTACATTCTAGAAGCCACATTAGGGTACCACGAGTGAAATTTTGTCTGAGGACCATGTGTGTCACATTATAACCAAATTTTATGCGAGGGACACCTAGAATTAGAAATAGCTGCGTTTGATTTATTTTGTATTGTTGCCAGTAACAAAATATTGAGATAATTTTACTAAAATGTGTACTGTTGGTAGTTAAATTTGGGAGAAACTCTTTATTTATAAAGTCTGACTTTGGGTGATTAATTTATATATGTTATTTCTTCAGTGCCAGGATTAAAGAACTCTCCTATTAAATGATTACAACATACTAAAAAAAAACATCAAAGGATTCTATTTATTTATACTGTTACTGGATATTTTGTTTTTCAGAAAATGATGAAGGAATGTATGGTGAGACTTATATATTGTGAAATGCTTGGATATGATGCTTCCTTTGGTTACATACATGCAATCAAGTTGGCACAACAAGGAAACCTTTTAGAAAAAAGAGTAGGTATGTATGTGTTTAAGACTTTTGCACTTAATGTTGTCCTTAAAGTTCTGGCTATTATATAAAGTGAATGGTGGCAGGTGTGTAGTATGTTTTTAGAACACTGCCTTGTGATTTCCAAAGCTTTAAAAGATAACACTTCAAAAACTCACAGCCTAAAATGGAATCAATTTTCCTGATTCATAGCATTTTGGAGTTATAGAAAAGATGAAAAATTGCCTGTTCTTGTGATGGTGGTTAGAAGACTTTGTCAAAATTCATTGAACTATATACTTAAAAGGGTGAATTTTCTTATATGTAAATTATACCTCAGTAAAGCTGATTTTAAAAGGTCTGTATAACCTTATCAGTTTAATGATAAGGGATGATTTTTTTTTAATAGATAAAAACTGAAATTGACTTGAATAATTTTCGATATCCTGCTCCTAGTTTCACAATTGTTAACTATGAGGATTTGAGGTATCTTTTAAAAAATTTTGTTTCTATAATCAACCTTTAAGTCTATTAGGAAAACAAGGACTTAAATCTTGTATTCATATATGTACAGCTTTATATCAGAAACTTAAGAAGGAAGCACTTTAGAATAATATAGGAGTAAAACATGTTCTTTATTCAAAGAAGTTGATAGTGTCATGTTGTCAGGGACCAACATTCTTCTCAAGTTATATTGACCTGTGCTGTCAGATGATGGGTACGGCGTGGGAGATGTCTTGGTAAAGACTCTGAGACTATATGAACACAGTATTCCACTTGTTGAATCTCACTCCACCGAAAATACTCTTTTGTCTTCTAGATTTGTTACATTCTTCCCTCCAAGTAGAGTGTCCTCTGGCATCCTGTCTCTCCCTTTCTGTATTCCAAACCAAGTTTTAACTCTTCTGTGATCTCTCAGGTGGCTCCTACCATCTGTTGTCTTATGGTGTTTGTCTTTTCATGTCTTTTCCAAACTAATTCTGAGATCCCTAACAACAGGAAATTTAGAAAACAATAGATAGTCTATACTTTGTACATCTGTTGCTGTATTTTGCTTTTTAGACTTTCATGTAATTTTTCCATTTTCAATTAAATTTTATTTTTATTATTTTATTGGTTTTTTTGGCCACGCCACGCGGCTTGTGGGATCTTAGTTCCCCGACCAGGGGTTGAACCCAGGCCATGGCAGTGAAAGCACTGAGTCCTAACCACTGGATCGCCAGGGAATTCCCTAAATTTTATTTTTAAAATATGTAAAAATTACATATGTAATTTGTAATTTATACATGGTCCAAAAGTTAAGACCTGATAAAAAGGTATAGTCAGAGAAATTTCATTTTTATCTCTAACCCCTCTACCAGCTTTGCCCCTTACCCCATGGGTAACTATTTTCATTAGTTTCTGATTAATCTTTCCATTGTTTCATTTTGAAAAAACAAGCAAATTCATGAGTACACACTCAAATACTGTCTCTTACACAGAAGATAGCATGCTACAGAGATTACTCTGCACCTTGTTTTGACATCTTTATACTTTTATACAATTGCATAGTTTTCAGTGGGCGGATGGATGTACTGTAGTATTTTCATCTAGGTCCCTATTGGTGGATATATGGGTAGTTTTTATTTTTTGCTCTAATAAATAATGTTGCAGTGAAGGACCTTGTATGTGGGTTATTTCATAGTTACAGTGACTAAGGAAACCTCACAGTCATTTTTACTGAGATTCATGATCTTCCTTAGGAAAGTTTTTTATTGACACCTAGAAAGACATGTATGTGGGTATCAGATATTCTTTATGTGTGCTAATGAGTGGAAGTTTTTTTTAAGATAGCATTTAAATTTTTTATGCCTTTACTCCAGTACCGTTGCCTCATCTACTCTCCTGAGATTTCTAAGGCTAGCTTTGGTGCTTTCTCTGATGGATAATGCATTCTTATTTTTCACATGAATACTGCTGAGTAAATAAATCTCAGTACCCACTAAGTCAGGAATTATGTTAGGTGCTTTATCTTGTGAGATGTTATTTCGTTTGACAGAGGAGAAAACTGAAGCTCAGAAAGGTCAAGTCAATTTTCCAAGGTCATAGAGCTACTAAATGGTGAAGCCAGAATATAAACCCAAGTTTCTATGAGTCAAAGCCTGTATTCCTATCCTGTACCTCAGTCTTAGTCATATCAAATGTATTCTATAATCATAGTTGTTATTCTTTGTTTTCCTGAAACCTTTAAAATTTTTTGAATCACAGAATATCTTTTTCCCTGTTTCCTGATTATCAAAACAGTTTCCTTGTTTTCCCTGATTGTCAAAATAGGATATTCTTTTTAACAGATAGAATTAAGATTTCATAAGGTTTTGAGGTGGTCTTTGGATTAGTTTGTTGATCTTAGTTCTTGTATCTTGATATTGGTGACTTGAGAGGGGGTGATATCTTAGCTGAACAGATGTAATCTGATAAGACCTAATTTCTGCTTTAAATGCTGTCTAGGGTTTTTCTCTTTCCTGGTCCTGGTTTGTTCTTTTTTGTCTCTCCTGATTGTGGGAGTGATAGCTCTGCTCCTCTGACCTTCAGTGAAGATGTTGCAGTGGATCATGCTGCTACTCCTTGGCTATGAGAGCAGGAAATTTTTAACAGTTTTCCCATCTTCCCCAACAGACACATTATGGATGCTGGGTAGTAATAGGGATAGTTAACACTAGAATTCCTAATAAAAAGGCTGGAAGAATTGAGAAGAATGAAAAACAATGGGGATGGGAGTCAGGGAATAAGGTCTTAAAGTAGACTGTGTGAGAGGCAGAATAACATAGGGGTTAACAACATGAACTAACTCCTACTGGCTGGGTTGTAGTCTTGGCTCCACCATGTAGTAGCTGTAGACCTTGGGCAGTTATCCTTTTGGGGCCTCATTATTATATTGGGGATAATAATAATATCTGCCTCATAGAGTTGTGAGGATTAAATGAGGTGAGACTTGTAATGTACTTAACCCACAGTAACTGTCTAACAAATGTTATCGAAATTAAGGGTGACAGGAAAATGACATGGAGCATCTAGATTCCATGCACATGGTATTTGTCAGTGTATTAATGTACTTCCTCAATTTTAAGTTGTATTTTTTAATATTTTGATATTATTAAAATAAAAGTACTTAAGTAAATGAGTACATTTAATGTGGTAGACATTGTTTCTTTCCTCAACAACTTTTATTCATTCAATAGTTTATCGTCAAATTGAGAAAATAAGGTATTGTTTATGGCTAATAGATGATTTACATCATATGGATTGGTATCAGGTAGCTCATTCAGTAATACAAATAGCTAGTAACTCACTATTTATTAACTGTAGTAGCTATTAGTTTTTAAATAATTATATTTGGCTATAAGACAGAAAATGTATTGATTGATTGTGTAGAGATTTGCACAGAAGATGGAAGGCATATATTCCTAATGTCATTTACAGGACTTTAAGTTGGTGCACATAGCCTCTTTTCCATTTCAGTTACATCCTGTGAAATACCTGATTGTGAAAGACTTCAGGATGAAGAACATCTGAAATCTTCCTTACTGAATTTTTTGAACCTTGTTATTTTACTATTTGTTTTTATATTTACCTGTAACTGGTATCTTTGACACTTAAATTTTGGAATATATTATTGCTTTGTTTAACTTTTTGGGAAATGTTAATTTTTGGCAGGTAATTATGAGACTTTTCCTCTCAAATTTTATAGGTTATTTGGCTGTTTCTTTATTTCTACATGAAAGTCATGAACTGTTGCTTCTCCTTGTGAATACAGTTGTAAAGGTATTGTATTGTGTGCTGGTTAATATGAAGTCTTAAATTATTCCTTCAGGCATCTGACATTTCTCATCAATCATATTAAATTAGGTATTTTTCAAAGAAGGTAGGCTTATAGAATGGGCTTAGAAAGATCTTTTATATCAGTTTCTGCGTCTGTAAAATGAGGATAATAATAGAACTTAACCAAGTTGTTAGGGTTAAATGAAACACTGTAGAGAATAATAGTTGCTACTGTTATTATTGTTTCATTTAAAAAAGCAGAGTTAACGAAAATAAACTCAAAATGGTCTAAAGACCTACATGTAAGACCTGAAACCATAAAACTCCTAGAAGAGAACATAGGTGGAACACTCTTTGACATAAATTGTAGCAATATTTTCTTGGATCAGTCTCCTAAGGTAGAAGAAAAAGCAAAAATAAACAAATGGGACCTAATTAAGCTTAAAAGCTTTTGCACAGCAAAGGAAATAATTGACAAAACAAAAAGACAGCCTATGAAATGGGAGAAAATATTTGCAAATCATGGGACCGACAAGGGGTTAATATTCAAAATATACAAACAGCTTATGCAACTCAATATCAAAAGGAGACAAACAACCCTATGAAAAAATGGGCAGAAGACCTGAATAGACATTTTTCCAAAGAAGACATGTCGATAGCTAACAGGCAATGAAAAGATGTTCAACATCACTAATTAGAGAAATGCAAATCAAAACCACAATGAGGTATCACCTCACTGAGAATGGCTATCATGAAAAAGTCTGTGAACAGCAAATGTTAGTGAGGATGTGGAGAAAAGGGAACCCTTGTACACGGTTGGTGGGAATGTAAATTGGTCAGCTACTGTGGAAAACAGTATGGAGGTTCTTTAAAAAACTAAAACTAGAACTACCACATGATCCAGCAATTTCACTCCTGGGTATATATCTGGAAAAAATGAAGACACTAATTTAAAAAGATACATAACCCCAGTGTTCATAACAGCACTATTTACAGTAGCCAAGACATGGAAGCAACCCAAGTACCCATCAGCAGACAATTGGATTAAGAAAATGTGGTATATATACACAATGGAATATTATTCAGCCACAAAAAGAATGAAATACTGCCATTTGCAGCAATGTGGATGGACCTAGAGAATACTATTGGAATTAAATATTAGTAAATAAGTCAGAGAAGGACAAGTACTGTATGATACCACTTATATATAGAATCTAAAAAATAATACAAATGAATGTATATGCAAAACAGAAACAAACTCACAGACATAGAAAAGACACTTGTGGTTACCAAAGGGGAGAGAGGGAGGGACAAATTAGGAGTATGGGATTAATAGATAACAAACTACTATATTTAAAATAGATAAACAAGGACAGCATAGGGAATTATACCCATTTATCTTGTAATAACCTATAGTGGAGTATAATCTGCAAAAATACTAAATCACTGTTCTGTACACCTGAAACTAATACAATATTATAAATAAGTATACTTCAGTAAAAGAATACATTAAAAAAAAAGCAGAGTTGGAATTATAACTCAGATCTCCAGACTCTTAGTCAGATACATCTTCCATGCTGTTGTCTTTTTCTCTAGGATCTGTTTTAAAGGGATGTGATATAAACTGAATAATTAAAGTCTTTTAAATTCTGAAAGTCAGTTTAAAGAAGAACAGAGTTTAATTGGGTAACTGAAATGTACAGATAATAAAAACACAATTTAATGCATACACAGTATTGTTTCCTGTTAAACGTTTAAACAAAATTGGTAATGAAGTATAATTGAATTGTTGAGCTTTTTCATGTTTATCTTGTTTCAGTCTTTTGATATGTGAGAGAGTGAGTGTGTGTGTGGGTGTGTAGTATCAATACTTTCTGAATTAAGTTATATACTCTCTTAAGTTTACTAGTAGCTTAAACTTTTGCAAACTTTCAAAAACGTAGTTTTGGGTTCTATTAGAACGGTTTGTAAACTTTGTGCTTATGTAAGTATATATGAATGCATGCATTTTATCATATATATTCAAGAATTGCTTCCTTTTAAACTTCCACTCATATTGTTGATTAACAAGAAGAATTCATAAAATTATTCTGTTACTAGTTTAGAAAAGTTTTAAAGGCTGTAATAAGGAAGACTACTTTGGTCATTGTCAGGACAGAAATACAGTCTCCTTTAGTTCAGTTGCCTTTTGGCTATCTTTATCTATTGACTCTATTAAGGCAAATGAAACAGGGATATTCCTATAAAATATGAGGTAAGCCTAAATGTACAAATTAATTTAAAAAGTTAGTAGAAAACTATTAAGTGTGTAGGACCATTGCAATGTTGAGCTCAATGTCCCTAGATTCAGAATTTGCACTGAATGTTTTCTTTGCTTAATAATGTTAGGACTTGCAGAGCACTAACCTAGTAGAAGTATGTATGGCACTTACTATCGTCAGCCAGATTTTCCCTCGAGAAATGATTCCAGCTGTTCTTCCATTAATAGAAGATAAACTTCAACATTCTAAGTAAGTAAATTCTTTTTGGATAGGTGTCTACACTATGTATTTCAAAAGGAAAATTTATACTCAGAAGTTTATTCTAACTTTAACTTAATGCTACCAGGATAGAGGATATTCTTTGACTGCCAGGTATAACGCAAAAATCCCTGATATTTGTCCTTTATTGTCCTTTATTTTTATGTGGGTTTAGAAAAATGTTAGGCAACTTTCTAAAGTTAAACTGAGAGTCAGTGAGGCTTAGCATCAGGAATCCTTGGCTTTCTTCCCACTTCTTCTGCTAACCATCAGGGGTCCTGTTTTTCTCTTGGCTATATGGGGTTGGTGGAAGATCCTTAGTTCTCACAGAGTTGTTTTGAGGATAAAGTGAAGTAATGGAAAACACATGGAAATGGTTCAAGTGCTATGAACATAGACCTTCAATGTATTGGGGATGCTTTATATCAAAACTGCAGCTTTCAAATTCTGTTTTATAGCAGAATATATCCAAATGAACCTTAACTTGTATTTTGCTAATCTTGTATGATTCCTTAACTCTCTCCTTCTCAACTTGATTACTTTTTCACCACATTTGGAATTATTTTGTTTTTGACCAAGCCCCTTAACTTCATAATCTTTAAAGTTAGGGAAAAGTTTACAGTCACTTGCCATTTTTCCTTTGTGATTGCAGTATTTTAGTTATATATACATTTTTGATAAAGATTTCTTTTGTTACTCATAATATTTCATATGCTTAAGTCAGTATTTTTAGTGTTCTAAGATTTTAAAATGTTGTTTTATGGTTTGTGTTCTTTAAATCTCGGACCATGAATATTTCAGCTAAAAATGATAGCTTTTTCTAAGAATTATGGAATAACTTCAGAGATTTTTCAGACTTGTAATATTTTGTTTATATCAAATCTGTGTTTAGAACAAATGATGGGTATGGAAAATTAATTACTGGAAATAAAATATTAGCCTTTCTTAGATAATTAGAGGTTGATATGATCACAGCAGAGCATATTTTTATGAAATTTTTCCATACCACCACTGTTTTGTGGTAGCCATACTTATCCTTTGTATGAAATCTTTCAAAGAATTGAATTTTTTCCTTGTTGCTTCCCATTTACCCTTTCAATTTTTTCCTTATTGCTTCCCATCTACTGTCATTTCAAGTCTTGGCCTTTCCTGTCTTCTACCAGTTAGAGTTTAGACTTTCTGAAACTCTGCTTTTGCAATCATGGCCATACCTAACTCCATGCTATGGAGTAAAGAGCTAAAGACAGAGCTGTGGGACAGAGCTACAGATAAACCAGTAGATATCACAACGAAGCTATGAGACAGGGCTTGGACTCGACTTTTGAATCCCTGGTTATATTTCAGCACGCCAAACTCACAGCCCGAATCCAGGTTTTTTGATATCTTGTGTTATTGCCAACACTCTGGGCCAGACCTAGGGATTCCTGAGCCTGTTCAGAGTTTGTATTCTTTTTCCTCACCTCATTTACTTACTCTCTCCTGGAACTCATATTGGTTAATGCCCAATAGCAATACATTGGGATATAGTTTACAGTTACTGTAGTATTAATACTAATGGCAAATCTTTCGTTAATCTGCTTTTCTTTTTATGTGAAAAGAATTTTCCAGCATGACATAGTTTACCTAGGAAGATAGTAGGTTGCTTGTTAATGCAGAGGCTGGGTGGCCATTTGTTAGGAATCTTATAAAAAGTATTCTTGAGTGAAACACAGAGGATTGCATTGAATAATCTCAATTTTGAGATTCTATGATTTTAGGTAACAGAAATACATATTAAGGAACCCTGAAAATAAATACTTCTGTACTGCTGTTGTGGGCACTGCGAGCATAGTCTGCAAATATGAACTATGTGGAAATAGGCATAAGAGACAAAAACAAAGAATATAATTCCTTGGAAACTACATTATGTTCACAGGATAGCAACTCTTTATTTTTGCTTCTTGTGTGCTAGACATTATCTGTTACAAATGAAGTGCAAGACTTGTGTATACTTTCCTCTTCATTGTAATGAGGTTTTTGAAACATGAGCTGGGCAAGGAGAGGAGTAACATCTTTTAATGTAAGTCCCCCTTATACTCCTCTGCCCCCCCCCAAGTATTTGGAGTATGTTTGCCCATGATGTAAAAAAAGAAATATGAAAAGCTAGAATGTTAAGGAGACTTTTAATATTGATGAAGAGACTGTTTAATGTTATTGGCAGAAATTACCTCTCACTCATTTAAATTTACTGTTGATTCTTTTCCCAATTTCTACAGATATGGCTTTCAAAAATGGAATTAGGGAATTAACGAATTTATCTTTCCTGGTTTGTTTTGGTTTCAAAAGTAATATATGCTTGTTACCAAAAAATTTTATAACTAGAGAAATATATAACATGGACAGTTAAAGTCTCTTGAGGTCTTACCTCCTAGAGATAACTACTTTTATAGTTTGGTAGATTAGAATAAAAAATTAATAATGTGTAATTCTTTCTTTTTAGCTTCAGGTAACAGCTGGTATTTTACAATCATCTGGTCCATAATCTTTTCAAACTAATAAATGTCTGATAATTCAGATGGTTTATTTAGATTTTATTTTTTATCTTTAGGGAGATTATACGAAGAAAAGCTGTCCTAGCATTATATAAATTCTATCTTATCGCTCCTAATCAAGTACAGCATATCCATATTAAGTTTCGGAAAGCACTTTGTGACAGAGATGTTGGTGTCATGGCTGCATCCTTGCACATATACCTTAGGATGATTAAGGTAAGTTAGCATTTTGAGCAGGTACTGAGTAGCTACCATTAGAAAAATGTAATTATGTAATTAAAAGAAAACTCATATTTTTCAGTAAAATGCTTAAGTCACATTTAAATTTGTATTATTGACACTTTAATAGTAATTTTTGCATGTTGTTGATCGCATGAGTTGTAGACAAATTATAGATTTAGTCTTTTTTTATGCCTAAAATTTTTTCATGTTATGAAAGAAGCATGGAAAAATGGTAGCTCTGGAAAGTGGTTGAAATTTTCAGATTTGTGGTTTTTCAAGCAGTGCCTCCCTTTTATACAACTTCATGGGATACATATAACGATTTATAGAAATGAGGAGAGCTGGTGGAGAACGTGCAAGGCATAGTCTACAGTGTTGACTCCATACGTTGATACTGTGTTGGAGGAGGAAGGGGGGTTGGATACTATGGTAAAAAATTTTTCTAAATGATGATACGGGTTTATACTAATTCAACCCCAGTGTATTGCCTGAAACCCTTTGTGTCTGAAAGTATATACTTGTGAGAGATTTCATCATACATCATAATGAAATGGAATATGCTGTTGAAATCAATTAAAAATTACAGAAACTGAAGGTTGTCTTTACTTTTATGCATTGTGTGCTCCAAAATAGTGTGGTATAAATAGATAATTGATATTAAATCTTATTTTTCCTCTAACATTTATTAAACTCTGAAAGAGCTATTATTTCCCTTCCAAAAATTTGTCCTTGATACACAGTAAAAATTACAATGAAGAGTCTAACATTCATTTTGAGGAATGTGTATTTAATTTCCCCAGTTCAGGCAGATGGTTACTAGACCTATAGTGGTGATCAATTCGTAATATACATAAATGCTGAATCACTATGTTGTACACCTGAAACTAATATAGTATTGTATGTTAACTACACTTCAGTTAAAAAAAATAAGATGAAAAAAAAATTTCCCCAGTCCAAGAGATTAGTCAGATAGATAATCAAGGCATACTCATTCAGAATCACAAATATGTTTAAATATTATAGAGTTAATTAATTTTTGATAAGCAGGCTTACTGATTTTGGGGGTTTTAAATGTTTGAGTAATTTTGGCTATGCTCTTCCACCTGGAACATATTTAGTTCAATCACATGAGAAGTCTTTTGAAAACAAAATTCAGAGATTGGAAACAGACCTTGGTTTTCATCAAAAGTAGAGGTATTACTGCTTTTTTCAGTATGCCAGTTCTTTTCAATTTTTGCTTTAATTGCTGATACTAGCTTTTAAAGGTTCTAAGATGTAATTATAGAACTTTGGAAATGTGATTAAACTGTATAGGAAGTAGGAAGTGGTGGAAGCTTTTTGGGGCATGATTCAGCTCTGGATCTGGTAGCCAGAGGAGTTTCATGGTGGAAGAAATTACACAGTTAGAGGACTGTTTCTTTAAATATGAACATGAAACTTCTTAAGTGAGCATGTATTACGTTAGATTCTATATGGCATTTCAACCAGGTCTATTTTATTTTTAAGACATTATTATTAACAGAAAGTTTTTTGTTTTGCTTTACTTTGTTTTTTGGATGTAGGAGAATTCATCTGCATATAAAGACTTGACTGGGAGTTTTGTAACAATTTTGAAGCAAGTGGTTGGAGGAAAACTCCCCGTAGATTTCAATTACCACAGTGTACCAGCACCATGGTTACAAATTCAGCTGTTGAGAATACTAGGACTTCTAGGAAAAGATGATCAAAGGTAAACTATTCTAGGTAAATTTGGTAGGCTTTAGTCATCTAGAGGTTTCATGATAAACCAGCTTCTCCCAATGCTTAATTGACTTAATAGTGATAAATAAGCCACTATAAGAAGTGTAAAAATTCAGGTTGCTGGGATAATCCTGGCTCTCTGCTTATCTCAGTCCTACTCACAGTGCAAAATACCTTTGAAGCTCCATATGTTCCATGAAACTTTCTTAACCATTCTAGTTTGGGGCTTGGGAAACTTTTTTATAAAGGGCCAGATAAATATTTTAGGCTTTGTGGGCTATATGTTGTCTATTGCAACCATTTAATTCTGCTGTTGTATACAGCTCAAAAGCAGCCATAGATAATATGTAAATGAATGAGCACAGCTATGTTCCAAAAAAACTCTTTAAGGACATTAAAACTTGAATTTCATATAATCTTTTTGTGTCATGAAATATTATTCTTTTGATTTTTTTTCAACCACTTAAAAATGTAAAAACCATTCTTAGCCTGTAGCCAATACAAAAACAGGCATCTGGACAGATTAGGCATGCAGACTATAGTTTGCTTACCCTGTTGCTCTAATTGGAACAATTCATTTGTTTGAATTACTCTTTTAGGCAGTAATTTTATTAAACTTTATGGGTGCCTTTCCAGTTACTTATATTTTTGTAACTTTTAATTTTGCTGTAGTTTTTCAAGCTTACGGAAAAATTCCAAGAATAGTACAGGGAGCTCTCTCTACCTCTGTTCATCAATTATTTGTATTTGCTTTATCATTCTTTCTCTCTCTGTGTGTGCATGTGTGCACACCTGTTATTTTTATTTAAGAATTTTTTTTTAAACTGTTCAAGAGCAACTAGATTTGGTCCCCTTGAGAGCAAGGACCATGGCTTGAGCCCCTGATGTGTTTCTGTCTTGAGAAAATACTGTTGATCAGGTTCTGACTTTAGAGATGTGGTTTTGTTTTATACAGTAGGGTACAATTTATATGCTAATCCTTTTTTTAAAAATTTTATTTATTTTTGGCTGCATTGGGTCTTCGTTGCTGTGTGTGGGCTTTTCTCTAGCTGCCACGAGCGGGGGCTACTCTTTGTTGCAGTGCACGGGCTTCTCATTGCAGTGGCTTCTCTTGTGGAGCACGGGCTCTAGGGCCCACGGGCTCAGTAGTTGTGGCACACGGGCTTAGTTGTGGGATCTTCCCGGACCAGGGCTTCCCTGCATTGGCAGGCGGATTCTTAACCATTGCGCCACCAGGGAACTCCTATATGCTAATTCTTTAGTCTCATTTTACTAAGGGATTGTCCTCTAGGCTATTATTGCTCCTAGTAATGTCTCCTCAGTTTCATGTCAGCATCCGTCTTTGGTGAGCTCCTGATGAGCGCTAACTGGGCTATATCACTCTTGGTGTTGCTATTTTACTTTTTTCTATGTTTATGAATCTCAACCTTGATTGAAACCTAGGGTGAAAACCTGGAGTTGATGGAGCAGACACACACATTGGAAATGTTTGTCCTATTGTGGAGCTCTAGTTGGAGTTCACTAGAATTCTGTTTTAAAACCATGAATTTCGTAGTAATGCATTCAGACCTCACTGGTCCAAAAGGATTTAATGCCATCATATGTTGTCAGGAAGTAACTTTGGAGGCATTTAGTGAATTTACTAAATTCATTAACTCATTATCTTCCTTCTTTCCTTCATGGATGAATTTGAAGAATATGTACAAAGATGAGTATGTTGAATAGAGTTCAGAGAGGTCAGTTGAATAGAAATTAGGCTTAATTAAATGAATGAAGAGTAGAACTCTCTTATAATGTTATGGAACATTAGAATGTTCGTTCCCTCCTTTGTTGTTTGAACTCTAATAAGATTTTATGTTAACGTATATTTCTTAAGTTATGATTAGCTCAATGTGGCAAAGTAAAAATGTTAAGTTATTTTATAACAGGATTCTAACGTATTTAATTGAAAGAATTAACTTACTGGAAAAATCTCTTATATTTATGGTCTTTTATATGTATTGTTTGAATATTTTCTTGTGTTTTATAGCATTCTGCTTCTTAGGTTATTAACATTTAGCTCAATCATGTCTGCAAATGTTTCCACATTTCATGTGGTTAATTATGACTCTTATGCCAGACATTGGCTTTTAAAATTGGGCAACTATACCATAATCTAAGTGTAGTATTACCAAATTTGGGGAGGGAAGGATTTGTAATGTCTACTATACGGTTGTTGTCTGTGCAAGAAATGCTTACATAATAAAATGAGGAATTTTAGGATATGGTTCTGGATTCTCACTGGATATTTATACTTTAGTTAAGATGCAATAGAAGTACATGCATTTCATATTGAGTTTTACAGCTGTATATTTGGGAAAAAAAGACATTTTCTGAGAAAGTTGTAACATACATGATATGAAATTTGTATAGCCCCAGATTATTTTCATCTTTTTGTTTGTTTTATAGTGTAGTTTCTCTGCAAGAAACAACTGTGTATTCTGTGGGTCGGGGTTTTTTCTGTTGTTGTTGTTACTTTTTTTTTGGCTACGCCACGTGACCTATGGGGTCTCAGTTCCCCGACCAGGGATTGAACCTGTGCCCCCTGCATTGGAAGCGTGGAGTCTTAACCACTGGACTGCCAGGGAAGTCCCTGGGTATTCTGTTTTGATGGTGCTTTTTTCTATTAGTGCTTTTTGAGTTTACAAAACATACAAAAATATCAGCTGAGAAGCCATAGTTTTCACATTGGCCTCTTGGAGAGGACTTTTCCTTGGAGAAAAGGCTTGGTGGCAGAGTGCTAGGGCTCTATAAAACACTGCATTTTTGTATAGTATCTACCTCAACCCAGTAACTATAACTGTAATCAGTGACCATAAAGACATAGGAATGGTTTTAATCTGTTAATTCCACAAAATATAATTTCTTTATATTTAACATAAATGAAAGTTAAAATTTTCTTTCTGATGAACCTGGTGCTGCTCAAAGAAAGACTAGTATTTGAATATTTTTTAAAAACTAAGTGTTTGAAATACAGATAATATACTGTCTGGAGTAATCTGGTTATGTAAATATTAGTGTAGTAACTTTAAACAGGTAGAAATATTATGTTATGAAGAAAATTATAAAAGATAGCATGTTCAACCAAACAAAAACTTTATTTGTTAAGTAGGTACAGATTGAGGAAAGAGTTGATTGACTTATCTCTTCATTGACTAGTCAGCTTTGATAAAGCAGGAAGTTAAACTCATGAAAAAGAACAAATGGAATCTTTAAGAAGTGAAATTCCCAATTCATAAAATGAATTTCTTTCACTTCTTTTCTGTAGATCCTCAGTTTTAAAGAGAGAGAAGTTTGAAAAACTATGTTTTATTGGGTTATAATACTATAATTCTACTGCAAATAAAATATCTTTTAAACAGGACAAGTGAATTAATGTATGATGTTCTCGATGAATCCTTACGAAGAGCTGAGTTAAATCACAATGTCACATATGGTAGGTAACATATGTAAATGCTGCTCTAATGTTTTCAGTATTATAGCTAAATCTGTGTTAGAATATTATAAATTTCAATAGAATTTTAAATGTTAATTTTTAAGGTGGTTTTGGGATTATTATTTTTCACTGGAAGCATTGAATAACTAATAAAAATAATTTGAAATTACGCCATTGTTTAAATGTTGACCTAAATTGACTATTACAATTGTCTCTCTTTTCAAGTCTTTATTTTTAAAGAGAAATTGTCTCTGTATTGAAAATGTCCATCAAGCATCTAATTGACTGTGAAGATAACCTAGTAGGTCCATTCCATACTTAAGACAGTTCTTAAATGAAATACTCAGTCAACTAGTCACCAAATATTTCTTAAGTTTTTGTTATTTATCAGACCCTGTGAAAGATGCTTGGAATACAGTTGTGAATAAAATAATATCGTTGAGCTCACAGCCTAAATAGATGGAAGGGGACAGGTACTAGAAATATTACAGAAATGAATTTACAAGGTACTCTGGAGAATACAGCAGCTAGTCTTAGATGAGAGGGAGAACAAGGAAGGCTTTTCTGAAAAAGTGATATTTAAGAAGATAACTGAAGGATGAGTATGATATAGATAAGAATATATAGATGTGGAATAATGTACTTTTTAATGAAGAGACAATAGCTATTTATGTTAAATACAATTTTACAAAGTAATTTAGTGATAAGAGACAAGAGTAAAATGGGGGAAGAGGGAGGAGAACTGAGAAAAGTAACCAAAAAAACTTCCAGTCTTAATAGCCAGAGGGAAGAACTCTTAGTTCTTTATTGATCAGCCTGAAAAAGCTCGTTGAAGAAATTGGGATATTTGGAGATATTTAAAGGATAGAAGTAAAACAGTTTGAATCTCACCTGGTATGGAAAAGGGCAATAGAAGAGGTATAGAGAGGTATAACTCAAATGAGAAGTCATTCTTAATCTGGTAAAATACCGTGAAGTAGGGGATGGAGAGCATTACTTGTTCTTTCAGACAATGGTAAACTGTGGATCTTTAAGAACAATGGTTGTAGAAGTGCAGAGTAGACTAGAGGGCAGAAATTGAACTAGTTTAACTGTAATAAAAGTGCTTGACAAAAATGCAGTAGGAATAAGAAAGGATTGCATGCATAAGACTAGTATGGAAAAAATAATGCACGTGGTAGTGAATTGGGATAGTAAATTTTGAAGCATAGATTTATGTTTTGCGTGTATAAATGGTAATTAAGGTAATAAGTGTGGTGTATTCATTTGTTCACCCAGTATTTATTGAATGCCTACAAAACAAAAATTTAGTTTGTAAACTAGGTACAGATTGAGGAAAGAGTTGATTGACTTAACGTATTCCTCCATGGTAAGTGTGGGAGCTTAAGGGAAGAATAAGGTAGACACAGGCCCTGCCCTTATAAGTATATAGTATAATGAATAGTTGACATCATCTAGGATCCTGCTATGTAATGAGAAGAATAAGGTGCCAGAGATAAGGATGATCATTATTGAAGCAGGTGGTTTGGCTAGGAGCTGTCAGTGTATCCAGAGTAGTGTCAGAATCTTTGGAGGCAGCTAAAGTAAATTAAAAAGTTTTGCTTGAGATATAATCATGGTCTAGGATAAGGGTTTGAAAGGCTCTCAAGGAATTCTGTTTAAAATCAATTTTCTGCTTTTCTTCCTTGCAGAAAGTTTTTTTTTCTTTCTGTAATTGACATTTCAGCTTTAATTTTAAAATTTTTTTGAATAGGTAATATATGCACATGGTTCAAAATTCAAAAGGTACAAAAGGGTATACAGTGAACAGTAAGTGTCCCTTTGACCCTTATGACCCACCACCCAGTTCCCCCTCCTGGAGATAACCACTGTTACTACTTTCGATTTAGAGAATACTGTATACCTGAGGAAATATTTTTTAATGTTCTCCATTAGGACATCCTTCTTTTATTAAGATTGCTGGGACCAGTGCCAACAGTTTATTTCTTTGTAGTCTGTCAGTCCAGTGTTTCACCTTGCCAGAGCAACTTAGTTTCTGTTGTTTCCCTTTTTTCCTTTATTTATCTTCTCTTTGTTCTACATTTCCCCCCGTATTTGTACTGATACAGTTTATAGCTTACAGTGAGTTTATCAATGGTAGAGTGTTCTCTAGTAAACCTAATATAAATATCTTATTACTTAAAAATGTGAATTTTAATTATAAACTTCATAAGGGCAGGGACTGTGTCTGTCTTATTGGCCAGCATATCCCAGTATCTGGCACTGGATTACTCAGTGAGTAATATGTTTTAATTGAATTGAAGGAAGAGAAAGTTATTTTACTTTTATCAGTTATCTTATTGGGTTTCAGTCTTAATATTTTTTAAACTGTATTTTTTTTTTTTTTTTTGCGGTACGCGGGCCTCTCACTGCTGTGGCCTCTCCCGTTGCGGAGCACAGGCTCTGGACGCGCAGGCTCAGCAGCCATGGCTCACGGGCCCAGCTGCTCCGCGGCATGTGGGATCTTCCCGGACCGGGGCACGAACCCGTGTCCCCTGCATCAGCAGGCGGACTCTCAACCACTGCGCCACCAGGGAAGCCCTAAACTGTATTTTTATGAAAGTTTCATTACTGTAACTTAGTGTCAGATCAAGAAATAAATCACATCAGAGGCATTTACTGAGTATCTGCTATGTGCCAGGCATTGCATAAAGTGATGTAGAGGATATGAAGAAGTATTAAATATAATCTTTGCCTTCAAGGAATTTACAGTATAATGGAGAAGATAACTTATTTATGAAAGCATAATATCAGTATAAGGCAGAATGCAAAGGGGAGATAAAGTCAGTAAATATTACAGGAATCCAGAGGCGATAAAGATCACTCTGGGCTTCAGGGCACATAAAGATTTATTGATGTAATAGGACCTTGAAAGATAGGATTAAGATAGCCAGAAGGGAGGTTAAAAGTGGTTCTAAGGCAGAGGGAACATGAGAGAAGGTGCAGAAGCGGGCGTGTTTAAAACAGTTTCAGAGAACAGTGACTTGTCAGCCTGTTTGGACAGTTCATAGTGAAGCAGTGGGAAGCCCATATTGTGGAGGTTCTCCCATGGCAGCCAAAGGAACTTTATACTGTATAAATCTGGAGGTATGGAATAGTTTTGGGCAGGGTACTGATAAGATGAGAAAGACATTTTTAGTAAACTATTTGGTAAATTGGGAGAATTACATAAAATGGAGTATAAGGGATAGAACCATCAAAAGTAGATAGAAGTACTTTTCCCACTAAGTACACCTAAAAACTCTGGACATTATATGTAAAATAAACATATAAGACTCTGAAAGGTGGAGAAATGAAGGTAGACTGGTTAGGGACCTTTGCATTCAAGGAACAACACCAAGGTGAGTACCCTGGGCTTTCTTTTTGCCTCATATACCCCAGACTGGGTACTGAAGAGCCAGCAGTCTGAAAATGCCAACAGGTGCAGACAAAAGTGCCCTGAAAAAAGCCTGCTCTCTAGCCAAAGGACTAAGGGAAAAAGGGCAAACTAGCAAGATAGAAAACTTTTAGACAATAGCTCTTCTATTACAGTCAAGCATCACACAGAAAAAACTGTGGACCACCCACAGCGGCAGAGGCTGAATGGAGAGTCAAGATTTCCACCCTCACCAGATACAATGAGGTGCCCTAACCCTCCCACGGGGCTAGTGGTGAAGACCAAGAGGGGCAGCTGCAGTTTCATCCCTGCCAGATGTTAAGGGGGACCCTCCCTGGCATTGCCAGTGGAGATGATGTGGGAAGCCTGGATTTCACATTATCCAGGAGCAGGGAATAATGAGATACCCCTCCCATCTTTCCTGAGGTGGCGTTAGAAGAAGTCTAGTGACGAGTTAGGGCTTTTAAACTGGTCACGTATACCAGGGCCACCCCCTTAATCTCAATGCAGGTCGTATAGGGAGCAGTAACGGGGTGCACCTCCCTCTTCCAGGCAGGGTACTTCCATCCCCCATCCAGGAGGAACCAGCATCCCCTGCCTCTCCAAGTGTTAAAGGAGGCAGAGCGGACTGCCACCCTTATTACATGGTACCCGCATCTCCCTGCCAGAGTGGTGACAGTAGTTAACTTATTTAAAATGAAAGTAAAGTCTAGTCTGAAGGATACAGTGTCAGTAGAACTTCTTCAAATTTTGTGCATGATCCTACCCAAAATATCTATGATAAAACCACAGTGTCACAAATGTTAGAATGTTATTAATTTTTAATTTGTTAATTTTTTACTTGATGGTATTTTGATTAGGACCTGGCTTCCTCTGGAAGAGTAAACAAAGCTCCACGATGCATTTTACCTTTAGAAATCCTTAGAAGCTCTACAGCAAGTCCCCTACGTACAAACAAGTTCCTTTCCGAGAGCATGTTTGTAAGTCCAATTTGTTCGTAGGTCCAACAAAGTTAACCTAGATACTCAACCAACACAGTTGGCTATATAGTACTGTACTGTAATAGGTTTATAACACTTTTCACACAAATAATACATAAAAAACAAACACAAAAATAAATAAAGCATTTTTAATCTTACAGTACAGTACCTTGAAAAGTACAGTAGTACAGTACAACCTCTGGCATACAGGGGCACATTTGTATCTTCGAAAGTTTGCAACTTGAAGGTTCGTATGTAGGGGACTTACTGTATTCTTTTAACCACTGCAGTGAGGAGACAGCAGAGTAATTGCTTTTTCATTTATGGACTTAGACTTTTGTAGAGTTGGAGAATAAAGGCTATTAGCCTCTAAATTATTTAAAAATAATTTTAAAAACCTGTTAAGTTCATTTCAGCTCATTTATGCCTAGGTTGACTAATAAGTGCAATTTTTGAACTATTAATTTTACCTAAACTAGCTTTTCAGAAATCTTATGAGCATCTAAATATAAAAGTTTAGGTTTTAGATGGGTAATGAGAAGCTTTTGTTGTCAGTAAAACATCTTGATAGGAGAGCTCTAAACGGTGGAAATCCGTAAAGGAAAATATGTCAGTTATGATAGAAAATGGAACATCATCATTTTTAATCTTACTTAGGACTAGCACGTTTGTTCAGGGTTTGGCAAACTTTTTCTGAAAAGAGGGCTAGATAGTAAATATTTTAGGTTTTGTGTCGGTCATATAGGTTTTTGTCATATATTCTCCTTTGTTTATTTTAAACCTTTAAAAATGTAATTGTATACCTAAAAGTAATAATTTTATATGTCAGTTATATCTCAAAAAATGTAAAAATCATTCTTAGTTCACAGCTTACAAAGATAGGCTGAGGGCTGTGTTTAACGATGTGTTGCCTACTCCTGCCTTAGTTGATTAGTTAAGTTAGTTGACTAAGGCTCTCTCTGTTTACTTCGTGAAGTCATAAAATCAGCTTTTTTCATAGCACAGAGTAACGACTTTTTACAGCATAACATCTGGATATATAAAGAATCTTTTTAGGTTCAGTTGACTTACTTTGTAGGTTTTCCTTTAATTCAAGTCAGTTCCCTTCTTAAAGAGTTGTTTATTTCTTAAAATTTTTCCTTCTGATTTCTTTTCTCTCTCCTTCTTTAGAAAGTATTTATTTATGTAAAGCTTTTTACCAGAAATTTATATGTGTATCAATTGATAGACAGCTTAGCAGTGTAAAACATAGTTAGTTGAATATTCAGGATCTATCTTATATCCTGTACACAAATGTTTGATTGTTATGTTTTAAGCTTTTGGAAAAAGAGCAGGAGTGATTCTATCAAAGACACGATATGCTTCAACTATATAGTAGAACTGTTTTTAAGTCTGCTGATTCTGTGTCTCACTTCTCATTCTGTGATTCCACAGGACATGCAGGACTTAATGGTGCCTAAATGATTCTTCTTTACCATGGCGAAGCTCCAGCTCTTTGACTTATGCTCTTTAAGAGAGTTTGAAAAAAATTTTAGTATCCACTTTGATCATCTATTATAGCTATCAGATCTTTGATGAGACCAGAAAATCAAATTTGAACACTATTAAGATGTTCAGTAGATTTTCTATATCCTTGGAAGTTAATTGTTAAAAAGTGGTTTGAAGATTTTTGAGTAGTGGCCCTATTTTGAAATAAATGCTAGAGCATCCTGAAATGATTATGTTGAAATAAACTGCACTGAAATAAACTACATATACAGTTTCTATGTAAAAGTGGTAGAAAATGCCTAAGAGTAAATTATTTTAAGCATTCAAGGAGTGTTGGAAGTATCTATTTATATGGGAACAATGAATGTATTATGTGTCCGTTAGAATGTGATTTCCTTGAGGGCAGGGGTTTTTGTCACCGCTGTATCCATACTAGTAGAACAATGTCTGGCTCATAGGAAGTTTCAGAAAATACTTGTTGCATGACTGAATATATCATTCTTATCTATTAATATATATCATTCTCTTTAAATTGTACTGTGGTAACGTAATCCTAACAACTGTATAAAGCCTGAAAACAGTAAAGTTCTTATCTTTGAAAAATTTTGACTAAAACTGACCTACCAATTAGTTTGTTTTGTTAGGAGTTCTACACAGATATATTCTTTTATTATGCCTTAATATGATCCCTGACATTATAATATTTTATTTCTGTAGCTATTCTGTTTGAATGTGTACATACAGTCTATTCTATTTATCCTAAATCGGAATTACTTGAGAAGGCTGCCAAGTGCATTGGAAAATTTGTTTTGTCACCTAAAATAAATCTCAAATATTTAGGTAAGATGATTGGTTCTTTTGATGGAAATTACCAAGAGAGTTTTTGAAATTTGCTGGTTATTTGTTTTATGTCACTTTCTATAATGTAATCTTTGCTTCTAGGATTGAAGGCTCTTACCTATGTTATCCAACAGGATCCCACTCTGGCTCTTCAACACCAGATGACAATAATTGAATGCTTAGACCATCCTGATCCCATTATTAAAAGAGAGGTAAACTGGTATTTTGAGTAATGTATGTGAAGTGTTACAATTTTTGAACTTTTTGTTGGTATTATAGAGAGAGATTAAAATGGTGGGCAGTGTGTATGTGCACACGTGTGTGTTTTAACTTTTGAGTGCATTTTATTCTTTCTATTGAAGTTTAAGGAACTTTTCTAAAAAGCACTTGTGTCAGTAATTACAAGAATGGTTTATTTATTTATTTTTTAAAAACATCTTTATTGGAGTATAATTGCTTTACAATGGTGTGTTAGTTTCTGCTTTATAACAAACTGAATCAGCTATACATATACATATATCCCCATATCTCCTCTATCTTGCATCTCCCTCCCAACCTCCCTATCCCACTCCTCTAGGTGGTCAGAAAGCACTGAGCTGGTCTCCCTGTGCTATGCAGCTGCTTCCCACTAGCTATCTGTTTTACATTTGGTAGTATATATAAGTCCATGCCACTCTATCACTTCATCCCAGCTTACCCTTCCCCCTCCTCGTGTCCTCAAATCCATCCTCTATGTCTGCGACAATAATGGTTTTATATTATGAGTTGGGGCTTCCCTCGTGGCGCAGTGGTTAAGAATCCGCCTGCCAATGCAGGGGAGCCCTGGTCCGGGAAGATCCCACATGCTTCAGAGCAACTAAGCCCGTGCGTCACAACTACTGAGCGTGTGCTCTAGAGCCCACAAGCCACAACTACTGAGCCCACGTGTTGCAGCTACTGAAGCCCATGCGCCTAGAGCCCATGGGCTCTCCACAACAGGAGAAGCCACCACAATGAGAAGCCTGCGCACCGCAACAAAGAGTAGCCCACGCTCACCGCAAGTAGAGAAAGCCCACACGCAGCAACGAAGACCCAACACAGCCAAAAATATAAATAAATAAATACGTTTTAAAAATAAATAAAATAGAAAATGAAACAAATGCTGTCAAGACAAGAGCACTCTTAAAAAAATAATAAAAAAATAAATTATGAGTTGGAGGAGTTAGGTCCAGTTACCTGTATAGGATTCATTAATATCTTTTTTGGTCCAAGAATTGTATGAATCGGAGACCTGAACTCTATTCCCAGGTCTTCCTATTAGTACAATTTTAAGAAGTTATTTATGATGATTAATTTTTTCCATTATTAACATCTATAAACTAGGCTAATGCAGTCCCTATTGAATATGTAGGAATGTTGAAAGAATTAATAAAGATATCCCTAAAATGTTTTGAACTTTTTGGAAGGAAAGTTATATAATTTTTTTCAACTTTTTCCTTTTATAAAGGAAAAAGTTTATAAACTGCTTCAATATCTACTTCAATATCTACTTGGGTGTCCATGTAGGTATATCTGTTAATTCTTATGTAGAGAATCACTTTATACCTTCATTTAAAATGGTATATGGGACCTAGGTAAGAAGAGTAGATAGTTTTATTTCTGATTTTAAAAATAATAAAGATAAAAAGAATCTACTAAACATCTAAATTACTTAAAAGCAGTGAATTAAAAGTAGTTTATTGAGAGAACACTGTATTACATTAAACAACTATAATTTTTAAAAGATAAGATTATGAATTTTGAATTTTAGTACTATTTTTGAAATAATATTTTCAAGAAATTGCCATCTACATATATATACATGTATGTTTTTTGCATTCATATTTTTAATCTTCTGAAAATTGTTACCTGCCTTGAATGAATCCAGGAAGTTTACAGATGTACTAATTCCTATGTGTGGACATTGTAGAAAAATGAGAAGATGCCAAGGGACAGTAACAAATAATTATATTGCTCTTCCACTTTGAACAGACATAGAGCATGCATTTTCTTTGTGTGGTTAAGTACTAAATTGAACATGGTTGACTTAGATACAGTTTTCTTATTGCTGTATTTATTTATTGGGATCTCATTTAAAAATGAGGGTCAAAGGGAAACTAGACAACTTTTAAAATTATGAAGTCTGATCTGTAGTGAGAAAAGTAGCTTGAATTTTTGGGGAAGGGTACTGAGTATCAGTGGTGCCCCAAGAAGGTACTGCAGTACTGTCTCCTCGATGCCACTGTCACTTCTAACCTCCATCAGTAACCATATGGCAAGAACTTTGGTCCTGGGGTATGGAGTGACCTGTTGCTTGGGGCTGGGATTCCCTTTTACCTGATTTTATTACTTTTCTTTCATAGCAGGGAAAAAGAAGGCAAGAAGGAGTTAACAGAAAAGACCTCTAGCCATGCAGTTCATAATACCAGTCCCCATTCAGTCCTCAAATGCTAAATTTCATGGTCTTAGAGTAGGAAGTAAATTTGGTGTAGATTATCTTAAAATATGTGACATATAGAGTTTACAGGAAGCATGTCTGAAGCAGCTTCATAGGTTGAAAGTTATAAATACATGTATGTATTTATAGATTTTAAATGGTGTTAAGGATTAACTGGAACAGTTAAAAAAAATTCAAAATCTGTTGTCCTTTGTACTTGAAGTCCTGGGTATAGGACTGAAAAATTAGAAAGAACCCTAAAGATAGATGAACAAGTTTGATGAGAAGGATATGTGGAATTTCTCCTGCAGCTAATATTGTTGCTCCTGAAATGCCAGTAAACGATGCTTTCTCATTATTGCCCTTTGTCTCCTACTGATTTCTGGGAACTGTGATATTTTTACAACCCTGATGTAGGGCCTCAGAAAGCCAGCCAAATGGGAGCTTACTCTGGTACTGGTCTTCCTTCATCTTTCTTCAGGCAGCAAGAGGTATATGCCTCATCACTGAGAAAGCTGTAAAATGGTTCTTCCTTGATACCCGAGATTCTGAACGTAGGCCTTGCTGGGGTTTGAAGTGCTTGCACTACCTTATCCATCCATTAGAGACCATTTGCCCTTAGCTGACAAATCCATTCAAGTGTGGTTTTCTGTTGTTCGGGTAGTGTGGAAAAAGCATTTTGCAAGACTGGATTTTTATATGTGTATACATGTATACACACACACGTGCACATGCATAGCACACAGGTATAAGTAATGTAGGTTTAAGAAGCTGTTACATTTTTAGAAAATAGATTATTAACCTTTTAACTTTTTAGTCTTTACATGGCCTGTCATGTAGAGATGTCAGATGATTATTATCTATATCAATAGAAGGCTTTTAGACTTTGGAATTGATTATAATTCTTTTTTTTTTTTTTGACGATAGTCTTACCTTTCTTAAGTTCTGTTCAGTTAAAATGTGCATTTCTTGAGCACCTATTAACTGCCCAGTAGAGCTACATAAAAGTGGAAGAATCAACTGTTACAAACCTATATGTTACAGTATTTATTTGTTATCATGCATAGTTTTATAATACTATTTTTATTTTTCTTTCTTAAATAGACTCTGGAACTTCTTTACAGAATTACTAATGCACAGAATATAACAGTGATTGTCCAGAAAATGCTTGAATATTTACATCAGAGCAAAGAAGAATATATTATTGTCAATTTGGTTGGCAAAATAGCTGAGCTGGCTGAGAAATATCCTTTGTTTGGACCATGAGTCATAAAATACCTTTACTTACACAGTGACTTTAAAATAATTGCTCTAGACATGGTCACTTGCAGGTTGAGTTCAGAGGCCCAGCAGTAACTTCCATTCCTGATATTCAAGCCTCTCTTGCTGTCAAAAGCAAGAATTCGTGTAGACTTCCTAGGGGATGACTTTTTTCCTGGTTCTTTTTATTCCATTGGTCAGTATTATCAGCAGGAGGATACAGGAATCTCGTCTGATTCCTCTTAGAGTCCCTCCTTGTCTTTGACTTTACTTCCTACTCAGTTTCTTTCCTGAGTAAAAGTTCTTGTTGTTTTCAGGGGATTGTTGAGGGGATCAGGATGCTAAAATTTATCCTTTACACTACTGTTTATACTGGAAATTGTCACAGTGAAGTAATTGGCAACTCCATTCACATGTTACTTTTCTTCACATTTGTTTCTTAAAAGTCAAAGGAACTTTGCAGGTCACGAGGTTACTCATCATTCTTTTTAAGATGTCTGTTGTTTAAATCTAAGATTGAATGAATGAATAATGCTGATCAAAGTATCTTGGAAATTGCTTAAGTATAGTTTTGTCCTAACCAGTGCTATAGCTCTGGCCAGCAGAATGATAGAATTTTAGAACTGAAGAAGAACAGATTAGAAAAGAGGGTCAACAACTTGTTCAGATAGACATGTCACAACATTTAGTTTCTGAAGTGCATATCATTTTCCATTATGTTTTTGTCCATAGTTAGCTGAAACATTTCTTTCAATTATTTCAGAGTTATTTATTGGACACCTGTTATGTGCAATATATGGTGCTAGATAAAGCACCATGAACTGGTTTATTAAGTTTATTCAGTAAGCTTTTACTGAGCACCTATTTTACATAAAGCTGGAGTAGAGAACAATTTATTGGCAGAAGTTAAAGGTATAAATGCCAAACTAGGATGAACTGAGGGTTATTTTTTTTAAGATTTATACAGAAAGGATAATTTTAATAAGTGGCATTTGGAAGTGTACTTGTTCTTAACACTGTGGACACATATGCTCCTGATAATGCGTGGTTTATTCAGACAATGAATGCTGTATTTTCAGTGGGAGGAGATGTTATGCATCCTGATATTCCCAATAACTTTCTGAGACTGCTAGCAGAAGGTTAGTAAACTGTTGCATTCTGCAAAGATTTTAAAATTAAATGTGTTTATTACAGAGTCCTTAGAGAATTTAGTAGAAATTAAAATGGTATATTAATTTCTTTGTAGGTTTTGATGATGAAACAGAAAATCAACAATTAAGGCTCTATGCAGTTCAGTCTTATTTCACTTTACTAGATGTGGAAAATGTGTTCTACCCACAGAGATTTCTTCAAGTTATGAGTTGGGTGAGCAAAGTACATTGAATCATAAATGTTTATAATATTCTTTTTTTATAAAGTCAAATACTAATAATATATTTCTTCAGAAATCATTCAGTTCTACTCAGTTAACTCCTTCAGCTGTCAATTTTCTTTACCAGTGGCTACCTTCTATCACTTAACTATTTACTTATCTATTCATTCTCTCTGCCATCTCACTTGACTAGTCTTTTAAATACGGGTATTTGTTTAGATGCCTGTCTGTGTCTACAATGCATTTGTTGTGTTTTCTATGTGAATCTATTTTTGAATATGTGAATACTCATATATCTGTGCTATGTTAGCTTTCTATTGCTGCATAATAATGTTACCACAAACTTAAAACAACACACATTTGTTATCTCACAGTTTCTGTGGGTTAGGAGTCCAGGCATGGGTTCTCTGCTTAAGGTCTTTCAGGGTTTCAATCATCGTGTCACTTGGGGCTGCTGTTTCATCTGAAGCTTGATTAGTAAAGGATCTGCTTCCAAGCTCACATGTGGTTGTTGGCAGAAATCAATTTCTTGCAGCTGTAAGACTGAGGGTTTGAGGTTCAGACTGTTGACTGTTGCCTGCCCTTAGCTCCAAGAGCTGCCCTCAGTTTCTTGCCAGGTGGGCCTCCCAACATGGCTGCTTGCTTCATCAAAGCCAGCAAGGAGATCATCTCTGCAAAACAAGGTCACAGTTTTACGTTATATAAACCTACATAATCATATACATCCTGTCACCTTTGTATATTCTTTCTTGTGCATATGAGTGAGCATTTCTTTAGGGGGAGATTTGGAGAAGTGCAGCTCTTGGTCATAGGATATTCACACTTTAATATTTTATGGTTTTGTCAAATGTTAGCATGTTAACCATAATTTTACCCAGACTTTTATTAAAGAATTCTTTTCTAATCTACAGGAAAGTTGAAAAAATGGCATAATAAATATCCCTATACTTTTCACCTAGATTCCCAGTTAATACTTTTAACCACCTTTGCTTTACTGTATCCATTTGGTTCCCTAAGATGTTATGGAAAAACCCGAACGAACTTTTTGGCCAACCCAGTACATCTATATCTATAGCTAGGTCTACCTATATACAGTTTGTTTTGTTGAGCCATTTAAAATTGAGTTGCAGGGGCTTCCCTGGTGGCGCAGTGGTTGAGAGTCCGCCTGCCAATGCAGGAGACACGGGTTCGTGCCCTGGTCCGGGAAGATCCCACGTGCCGCGAAGTGGCTGGGCCTGTGAGCCATGGCCACTGGGCCTACGTGTCCGGAGCCTGTGCTCCGCAACAGGAGAGGCCACAACAGTGAGAGGCCCGTGTACCACAAAATAAAATAAAATAAAATAAAATAAATAAAAATAAAATTGAGTTGCAGACCTCATGACACTTACCCTATAAAAAATTCAGTGTGAATCTCCCAAGAGTGATGTTTTAGATAACCATAAAACCATTATTGCACCTAAGAAATGTGACCTTACTTCATTAATATCACCCAATATACAGTCCATATTCAGACTTATCCAGTTGTCCAAAAAATGTCTCTTATGACTATTTTTCTACTCCTCCCAATCCCATATCAGGTTAAGATTCACAAATTGCATTTAGCTATGTCTTTTAATGTCTTTTATTTTACAGTGATGCGCAGTTTCTTTTTGTTTTCGTGACATTGATTTCTTTGGATGAATACTGTTGACTTGCAGAATGTCCAGCATTCTGAATTGGACTATTTCTGGTTCAGTTAAACATTTTTAGCAAGAATACTACATTGTCAATATGTATTTCTCACTGCACTGTATCAGGATGCATATAATGTCAGTTCCTCCAATTATTGGTGATAGTAAATTCTTTTGTTTGGTTAAGATGGTGACCTTTGTAAAGGTTCTCGCCATTGTAAACGTGCTGTTTCTCCTTACTAATTTAGAACTAATCTGTGAGGTGATTCTGTGAGACTTTGTGAACATCTGTTCTTCAACTATCTTTCATCAATGGTTTTAGCATTGATAATCCTTGTCTAAATTGATTGTTGTATTTGGTGGCCATTTGTATTTTCCTCCATGAACACGATATGTTCATATATTTAGAGAGTTTCTTTTTCTACAGCATACAAATCCTGTACCTGTTTTGTTAGATTTATACTTAGGTACAGATGGTTCCTGATTTAAGATGGTTAAGCTTATGATTTTTCAACTTTACGATGGTGCAAAGTGATACAAATTCAGGAGAAACTTCAAAATTTTTTTTAATTGAAGTATAGCTGATTTACAATAGTATATTAGTTACAGGTGTATAGCATGGTGATTCATTATTTTTGCTGATTATATTCCATTATTGATTATTACAAGATAATGGGTATAATTTCCTGTACTATACAGTATATCCTTGTTGCTTATCTATTTTATACATAGTAGTTTGTGTTTCTTAATCCCTTACCCGTAACCTGCCCCTTCCCCTTCCCTCTCTCCACTGGTAACCACTAGTTTGTTTTCTGCTTCTTTTCATTTTATTGAAGTATAGTTGATTTACAGCATGTGTTAGTTTCCGGTGTACAGCAAAGTGATTCAATTATACATATATGTACATACTCTTTTTCATATTCTTTTCCATTATGATGTAGTACAGGATTTTGAATATAGTTCCCTGTGCTATACAGTAGGACATTGTTGTTTATCTATTCTATATATAGTAGTTTGTGTCTGCTAATCCCAAATTCCTAATTTATCCCTCCCCCAACCCCTTTCTCCTTTGGTAAGCATAGGTTTGTTTTCTATGTCTGTGAGTCTGTTTCTCTTTTGTAGATAAGTTCATTTGTGTCATATTTTAGATTCCACATATAAGTGATATCATATGGTGTTTGTCTTTCTCTTTGACTTCACTTAGTATGACAATCTCTAGGTCCACCCATGTTGCTGCAAATGACATTATTTCATTCTTTTTTATGGGTGAGTAGTATTCTATTGTGTATATATACCACATCTTCTTAATCCATTCAATATGTTGATGGGCATTTTAGGTTTGTTTCTTTGTCTTGGCTGTTGTAAATAATGCTGCTATGATCACTAGAGGCGTGTATCTTTTCAAATTATAGTTTTCTCCAGGTATATGCTCAGGAGTGAGATTGCTGGATCATATGGCAACTCTGCTTTTAATTTTTTTAAGAAACCTCCGTACTGTCTTCCATAGTGGCTACACCAATTTAAATTCCCACCAACCATATAGGAAGGTTCCCTTGTCTCCACACCCTCTCCAGCATTTATTATTTGTAGACTTTTTGATCATAGTCATTCTCACAGGTGTGAGGTGGTATCTCATTGTGGTTTTTATTTGCTTTTCTCTAATAATTAGTGATGTTGAGCATCTTTTCATGTGCCTGTTAGCCATTTGTACATCTTCTTTGGAAAAATGTCTGTTCAGGTCTTCTGCCCGTTTTTTCATTGGACTGTTTGTTCTTCTGATATGAGCTGTTTGTATATTTTGGAAATTAAGCCAAAATATACAAATTGGTTGCATTATTTACAAATATTTTCTCGCATTATGAGGGTTATCTTTCATTTTGTTGATGGTTTCCTTTACTGTGCAAAAAGCTTTTAAGTTTAATTGCATACCATTTGTTTATTTTTGCCTTAGGAGACAGATCCAAGAAAATATTGCTACGATTTATGTCAAAGAGTGTTCTTTTCTAGGAGTTGTATGTCTCAGGTCTTACATTTAGGTTGTTAATCCATTTTGAGTTTATTTTTGTATATGTTGTGAGGAAATGTTCTAATCTCATTGTTTTACATGTAGCTGTCCAATTTTCCCAGCACCACTTATTGAAAAGACTGTTTTTTCTCTGTCCTATACTCTTGCTTCCTTTTTTTGTAGATTAGTGGACATTAGTATATAGGTTTATTTCTGTATTTTGTTCTTATACCCTGCAATCTTGCTGAACTCACTTATTAATCTAGAATTGTTTTTTGTAGATTTCTTGAGACCATGTTAATAATTTTTGCATCTCTGTGCATGAGGGATAATGGTCTGTAGTTTTCTTGTTTTTTTCTGCTATGTTTGGTTTTGGTATCAAGGTAATACTGGCTTCATAAAATGCTTGGGAGTGTTCTTTCCTCTTCTGTTTCCTGGAAAGATTGTGTGCAAGGGTGTTGTTTAGTTTTTAAGGGTTTTGAAAATTTCTTGTTATCTTTCCTGTTACTGATTTCTAGTTTGATTCCATTGTTGTCAGAGAAAGTACTCTATAATTTCAGTTCTTTTAAGTTTTTTTAGGTTTATTTTATGGCCTAAGATATGATCTGTCTTATATGTTCTGTGGGTGCTTGAAAAGAGTGGGTATTCTGCTTATTGTTGGGTGGCGTGTTCTATAGATGTGGATTAATTCTTTCGGTGATGGTGTTGAGATGGGGTGTAGATATCTCTAACTATGTGGCCTCCACTGAGCCTGAGTCTCTGCTAGGCTTCCCCTGACACCACTCCTGCAGAGAGGGCGAGGGCTACTTCTTTAAACTTGGGTGGAGGTGAAGTATAGGCTTCCTATGTAGTCTTCACAGACAGTGCAGAAGAGTGGGCCTTTCTACAGCTTGGCGGGGATGAAGTTCCTGGTTTTCACTCAGTCTCTCTGTTACCACCCTTGCTGGGGAGTTGAGATGCTTTTTACAACCTGGTAGGGGTTGAAGTCTTGACTCTCCACTCCACCTTGGCTGGTATGGGTGGGGCTACAGTTTTTTCTATTTGGTGCTTGGCTGGAGTAGAAGGATTATTATCTGAAAGTTTTCTGTCTTCCTGGCCCTTTGGCTAGAGGGCAGGCTTTTCTTGGGGCTTTTTTGTCCTTTCCCACTGGCATTTCTAGGTTGCTGGCTCTCAAGTACCCAGTCTGAGGTATATGAGGCAACAGATAACCCACTGTATTGTTCCTTAGGTCCCAAGGTTCTTAGTGATCTGCCTTTTTTTCTCTACCTTTCAGTCTTTGTATATGTGTTTTATGTATAACATCAAGGGTTTTTAGGCGTACTTAGCAGGAAGAATAGTGGAAAAAATTCACCTACTCTATCTTCCCAGAAGCTTAAGTCCATTGATTTTTTTTTAACTAATTAATTTAATTTATTTATTTTTGGCTGCATTGGGTCTTCGTTGCTGCTTGCGGGCTTTCTCTAGTTGCAGTGAGTGGGGGCTACTCTTTTTTTTTCTTTAACATCTTTATTGGAGTATAATTGCTTTACAATGGTGTGTTAGTTTCTGCTTTATAACAAAGTGAATCAGCTATACATATACATATATTCCCATATCTCCTCCATCTTGCGTCTCCCTCCCACCCTCCCTATCCCACTCCTCTAGGTGGTCACAAAGCACCGAGCTGATCTCCCTGTGCTACGTGGATGCTTCCCACTAGCTATCTGTTTTACATATGGTAGTGTATATATGTCCATGCCACTCTCTCACTTCGTCCCAGCTTACCCTTCCCCCTCCCCGTGTCCTCAAGTCCACTCTCTACGTCTGGCAGGTTGATTCTTAACCACTGTGCAACCAGGGAAGCTCAAGTCCATTGATTTTTGAACTAGGATTTAGGTTACCTGTTCTTCTAGAACTTCCTTCCATCTTTTATTAAACCAGTCAAAAAGTTATCTTACTATTTAAGGATTGAATTTATGTAGTTCTATTTCTTTTTTTTTTCCTCTTCTTGTTACTAGCCATAAATCTTCCCTTGCCGATCACCTCACCTCACTTTTTTTCTTGCTGGTCCCAGTATTATACATGAATATACTTCATAAATACTACTTAGGAAAGATCTCACACTCCATGAATTATCAGTTTATTAACGATCCTTAGACCGATAGGATTATATATCACCTGAATAAATTAGATGTAGGAAAGAGTATGTGTAAAATAATAGATCAGTGTTCGTCAGAGTCTCTTCTGTGGATCATCTACATCAGAATCAGCTGATGCTTTTTCAGAATGTGTATTGTATATCCCCACGACAGACATACTAAATCAGATTATCTGGGAGGAGAGTATAGAAATGTGTATTTCTATGAAACACCTCAGGTGGCTCTTACGCATACTAGTATGTGAGAACCACTTGTTTAAATGCTTATTGGAAAAAATAGTAACAGAATGTGAAAGTGCTTTTAAAAACCAACATCCAAACCTGGAAGTTCAGAAGAAAGCTAACTTGTAATGGTATGCTACTTTATATATTGTTAACGATAAAGATGTGGAAAACCTTTTTGTACTCACTTCCAGTTCTTGGTGTAATTTTGAACCTAAAATATACAATTGTATCTTTAATAATTTCTTCACCATGAGAATATGTTTAGTATAAATTAAATTCACTCCGGCAGTAGGCACTTTGTTTAAATTTCTGAGTATAGTTGTTATATAACTTGATATTTGCATATATACATTTCTTTATTTTAGGTTTTAGGGGAGTATTCCTACCTCTTAGATAAGGAAACGCCAGAGGAAGTTATAACCAAGCTCTACAAGTTACTTAGAAGTGACTCCATTTCTTCAGAAACAAAAGCCTGGATAATTGCTGCTGTGACCAAGTTGACACCTCAAGCACACTCTTCTAATATAGTTGAGAGATTAATCCAGGAATTTACCACATCTTTGGATACTTGTTTGAGACAGCATGCATTTGAATTAAAACATTTGCATGAGAATGTGAAATTTATGAAGGGCTTGCTTCCAGTTGATAAGAGTTGTGAAGACATGGTGGTAAGATATCTGCATTCCATCTTTTACAAAATTGCATTGTGTTTAAACAATAATTCTTCCATTTGTGATATATCTGGGATATGCCAAAATGTAATTTCTGTAGCACTTTAGATGAAGGTTGGCATTTTTCTCACATTAGTGTGAGAGAGCATTTGAGAGCTTCTACTCAGTAGTGATCCTAAATAGTCAGGAAGACTAATCGGTTCTGGAGAACTGCAGTGCAGGGGTTTATAGTCTATGACAATCTCTTTTAACATATAATAATTTGAGAACTTAAAAATTTTATCTCCTTTGAACTTCTCTAATATGTCATTTTATTATTGCTCTCTTTTCTTTGAGAATGTAAGAAAAAAACAGTTCTCCATTTTATTTTGTCCATCTACTATCTAAATCTTTACTACTTTGGAACCTGATCACCCGCCTTTTCTTCTCCCACCTACTTTCAGCCAGTGCTGCTTTTAATCCAAAGCACTTAGTTACTGCTCACCTCTGAGTTCTCTGTCAGATTGGTGTAAATCTGAAAACTTCCAGAAGGAAGTCAGATTTGTTCAGATTTTTATATTAGATGTCATATAGTTGAAGAAGAGGGGAGGATGGGCAGTATTCCCACTAATTATGGCTCAGATGTTCATGGCTTGTATTCATTTTGAACCTTTTGTTCATTAATTTTTTTCATTAGCTCCTCATGGGTAGAGGCCTTGGTTTAACGTTTGGTAGGCATTCCAGAGACTATATGAATAAATATGCTATACATAGTATTAAACTAGTTAGTTACTCTACTTCCCTTTCTTACAATAAAAGATAATGATGATGACATGGCTTCATCTCTTAAGAATCTTATCGAGGGACTTCCCTGGCGGTCCAGTGGTTAGGACTTTGCCTTCTAATGCAGGGGATGTGGGTTCAATCCCTGGTTGGGGAGCTAAGATCCCACATGTCTCGTGACCAAAAAACTATAACGTGAAACAGAAGCAATATTGTAATAAATTCAATAAAGACTTTAGAAGTGGTCCACATGGAAAAAAAAACTCAAAAAAAAAATCTTATCAAAACTAAACTTTGCCAATTGCACAGTGTGACATGCCACTTAAATTTTTTGAGAATTACCTGCTGTTCTAAATTATCTGAGCTGTTTGTATACACTTGGCTAAATTAGGAGAGGCAAATCTGTGGTTTCTGAGGTCGTTACTGCTATATCCTCTTGTGTATCTCATTTTTATTTCTCTCCTCACTTTTTCTTTTCTCCTTTTCCCCTTACTCTTTCTTCATCTCTTTATTTCTTTTCATTTAAGCATTCTCTTGTACCTTTCTATTCTTGTACTTGATTGAAATTAAGTAATTTTCCACAGGTTTGTAACAAAGCATTTTTAGGTAGAATGGAATAGGATAGTTAAAGGCACTGTGGGAGGCTGGATAATGGGCCTCCCCAAGATATTCACATCTTAATCCCTGTAACCTGTGCATAAGTTACTTTATATGGTAAAAGGGACTTTGTAGGTTTGATTAAGTTAAGGGTTTTGTAACGGAAAGACTATCTTGGATTATCTGAGTAGGCATGATGTAATCACAAGGGTCCTTATAAAAGTGAGGCAAGAGGTCAGAGAGGAGAAGGCCAAGTAACAATAGAAGCAAAGATTGGAGTGATATAGCCCCAAGCCGAGGAATGCTGGCAGCCTCTAGGAGCTGGAAGAGACAAGAAACCTATTCTCCACTGGAGCCTCCAGAAGGAACTAGCCTTTGCTGGGGGATTTGTTTTTAGCCCACAGCAGGAGGAAACTAATGTAGACACTATAGCTCATAGTGTATGTGTCTTCTCCTCTGGTAGGTTACAAGTCTCATGAGGCAGGACTTGTGTCTTACTTTGTCTCAGTTATAGCATCTAACATGATGCCTTAACATGTTGGATGCTCAAAAATGTATTCTGCAGTGCAGTGAAATGAATAATAAGTGCACATGACTTATATTGTTAGATTCTTAGCTGAGTGTTTTGATTATAGATGTTTCAGAAAGATAGAGAGTTGAGTAGCAATTTTAGAGTTGAAGTTCTGTTTTTCACTTAAAAATTATTTTTAGGAAATATGGGCTGAAATCACTTCTGTGAATGTACAGTCTAATGTTTAGGGTAAGTTTTTTTAATTCCTAATTTTTGCTTTACTTTAATATAGGTAGATGCTTCCTTATCTTTTCTGGATGGTTTTGTGGCTGAAGAACTAAGTCAGGGGGCAGCACCTTACAAACCTCACCACCAACGGCAGGAAGAAAAGCTTTCTCAGGAAAAAGGTAATTTTTCATGGGTTTATAATAAGCTAGATTGTAGGGACATCACTTTTTAATGCAATTGATATTATAGTCATGTAAGTAAATAACTAAGGAGATTCACTGTCTCTTGTTAAGTCTGCTTGTGACTTGTTCACCCTGACCTTATTTGGGGTAAACAGGAAAAAAAAGTTAGCCTAGAGGTGTTCCCAAAGCCATAGGTTTCATGTACATAAGTACCTAAGATATGGCAGCCATCCTGGAATTTTAAAAGAACTTGAAGGTCGAATTATCATGTTGGTCACTGTGCTAAAGGGCTTACAGATATCAGCGTGAGCATATCTGCAGAAGAGTTTCAGAAGAAAACTCTGGTTTCTATGAACTAGTGAGTTTCATTTTATTCTGAACAATCTTGTATAGCTTAAGTGTGTTAAAATGCTTCCTCCAGCGAAATGTCTGATCAGTCTGATCAGCCTAGAAAGAAAAGAATAACTTTACATTTAAAAAATGTAGGCTGTCAGGGAAAGACTTCTGTCATTATTTTAGTAAAGAGGAGATCACTGAGATATTTGATGGTGGGTGGGATATATATATATATATATATATATATATGTATATATATACACATATGTATGAATAAAGGGAGACCACTGAATATTATTTGTATAGGAATTCAGAATGTTAATACTGAAAAGTTCAATGCTGAAAGGTCTTTTTTTTCCTCCTATTCATTATTTAATGATTTTGTAGAGTACTTATTATTTTTTAGGTTCTGCGCTAGGCATATGAGTACAACTAAATGGTTCATCCTACAATGAAACCAAAAAGTATAAACACTAATAATAGGCTTGATGTTATTTTTTTTGCAGAAGTATTTGTTCTTTTGAAGTTTTTGACATTATTTAGCACAACGATACCTAAAGGCCTAGAAAATACAATTTTCTTTCAAAGGGTAATCAGTTTCCTTCCCATTTAACTCCTCATATATTGATAGAATATGTGAGGGGAAATAAAAGTTTTGAATTACAGTTGCCCCACCTCTGACTGTAGTGCATATAGAGGCCTTATGACATCCAAGGCATGGAGTGAAAATCTGGAGTTCCAGAGTGGGAGACATGGTCCAGTTGTCATATTTCCTTATTTTCAAATGTCCGGGAGCCATCAGTTGCTCTTTCTTTTTCGGCTGTGCTGTGTGGCATGTGGGATTTTAGTTCCCTGACCAGGGATCAAACCCATGCCCCCTGCAGTGAAAGCGCAGAGCCCTAACCATTGGACCACTGGGGAATTCCCCATCAGTTGCTCTTATTACTGCAATTCAAGGCTAGGGTAGGCAAGAGGGGTTAGGACAAGGAGCCTAATTTCTGGCATTGCCTTTCTTCTTTCTTAAAATAAGTTAAGTGGCTGATGCAAATATAATAGACCTGAAACTCTCCAAGCTAGTATATTCATTTGCCAAGTACATTTTTGATCATGGAATCATCATTATAAATGGGGTTAAACTGTCAAATTAGGCTCTTCCCCTCTCCTCCCAAACCTATTTTTCAAAAGTTCTCTAAAGTAAAATTGAAATTTCATGAGCCTAAACTGTCTTTTATATCATGGAAAAGGAAATCAGTTACAAGACAGGACATAGCAAGTGCTTATGCTGTGTACGTGAAGAATAAGTTATAAAATCATGGATCTTATAATTGTGGTTATTACAGAAAGTAAAGAGTGGGGGAAAAATAGGTATTTTCTGCCTAAAAAGTTGTTAATTCTGGAATCCTTCAATTGGCAGTCGGTTCTGATACTGATCTTGTTTGAGATTTTTATAAATCATTTGCAGAGTAGTAGTCAAATGTCACTTTTATGAAGGATACAGTACTTAGCTCTCTTGGGTAGAAAAATGCCAAGTTCGTAACAATAAACTTCAGGAAAATATTGTAAGATAATGAGAATTAGCAAACATAGGTGGGATACTGGGGAACTAACTTTTATTACCAGTTCCTACCCAAGAAAAGCATTGAGGAATCAGTGTGGATTATTCTGTTAAAATGTTATTTGAATATGTTGTAGCCCCAATGTTAGATAAAACCAGAGATAATAAGGGGAAGTAGCAGGATAATCTCCTGTCTACAGAACTGTGGATTTTTGAAAACCACATCAAGTTTAGACTGTTAGTCTCTCAAAAAATAAAATTAATAACAGCTGGGGATGGTCAGAGAGGTGTAGCCAAATGATCAAGGTATAAAAGAACTGCAGAGAACTTCAAGATGGCGGAGGAGTAAGACATGGAGATCACCTTCCTCCCCACAAATACATCAGAAATACATCTACACGTGGAACAGCTCCTACAGAGCACCTACTGAATGCTGGCAGAAGTCCTCAGACTTCCCAAAAGATATATATATTTTTTTCCTTTTTCTCTTTTTGTGAGTGTGTATGTGTATGCTTCTTTGTGTGATTTTGTCTGTATAGCTTTGCTTTTACCATTTGTCCTAGGGTTCTGTCTGTCCTTTTTTTTAAGTATAGTTTTTAGTGCTTGTTATCATTGGTGTATTTGTTTTTTTGGCTTGGTTGCTCTCTTCTTTCTTTCTTTCTTTTTTTTTAATTTTTAAAAAATTTTTAATAATTTTTTTTAGTTTTTATTTTAATAACTTTATTTTATTATTGTTATTTGTTTCTTTCTTTCTCTTTTTCTCCCTTTTCTTCTGAGCCGTGTGGCTGATAGGGTCTTGATGCTCCAGCCGGGTATCAGGCCTGTGCCTCTGAGGTAGGAGAGCTGAGTTCAGGACATTGGTCCATCAGAGACCTCCTGGCTCCATGTAATATCAAACGGTGAAAGCTCTCCCAGAGATCTCCACCTCAATGCTAAGACCCAGCTCCACTCAACGACAAGCAAGCTATAGTGCTGGACACTCTATGCCAAACAACTAGCAGGACAGGAACACAACCCCACCCATTAGCAGAGATGCTCCCTAAAATCATAATAAGGTCACACACATCCCAAAACACACCACTGAATGCGGTCCTGCCCACCAGAAAGACAATATCCACCCTCATCCACCACGACATAGGCACCAGCCCCCTCCAACAGGAAGCCTACACAACCCACTGAATCAACCTTAGCCACTGGGGACAGACATCACTAACAACGGGAACTATGAACCTGCAGCCTGTGAAAAGGAGACCCCAGACACAGTAAGTGAAGCAAAATGAGAAGAAAGAAACACATAGCAGATGAAGGAGCAAGGTAAAAACCCACCAGACCAAACAAATGAAGAGGAAATAGGCAGTCTACCTGAAAAGAATTCAAAATAATGATAGTAAATATGATCCAAAATCTTGGAAATAGAATGGAGAAAATGCAAGAAACGTTTAACAAGGACCTAGAAGAACTAAAGAGAAAACAAGCAATGATGAACAACACAATAAATGAAATTAAAAATACCCTAGAAGGGATCAATAGCAGAATAACTGAGGCAGAATAATGGAGAAGTGACCTGGAAGATAAAATAGAGCAGAATAAAGAAAAAAGAATGAAAAGAAATGAGGACAGTCTCAGAGACCTCTGGGACAACGTAAAACACACCAACATTTGAATTATAGGGGTCCCAGAAGAAGAAGAGAAAAAGAAAGGGACTGAGAAAATATTTGAAGAGATTATAGCTGAAAACTTCCCTAATATGGGAAAGGAAATAGTCAAGTCCAGGAAGCGCAGAGAGTCCCATACAGGATAAATCCAAGGACAAACATGCCAAGGCACATATTCAAACTATCAAAAATTAAATACAAAGAAAAAATATTAAAAGCAGCAAGGGAAAAACAACAAATAACATACAATGGAATCCCCATAAGGTTGACAGCTGGTCTTTCAGCAGAAACTCTGCAAGTCAGAAGGGAGTGGCAGGACATATTTAAAGTGATGAAGGCGAAAAACCTACAACCAAGATTACTCTACCTAGCAAGGATCTCATTCAGTTTTGACAGAGAAATTAAAACCTTTATAGACAAGCAGAAGCTAAGAGAATTCAGCACCACCAAACCAGCTTTACAACAAATGCTAAAGGAACTTCTGTAGGCAGGAAACACAAGAGAAGGAAAAGACCTACAGTAACAAACCCAAAACAATTAAGAAAATGGGAATAGGAACATACATATCGATAATTACCTTAAATGTAAATGGATTAAATGCTCCCACGAAAAGACATAGACTGGCTGAATGGATATAGAAACAAGACCCGTATATATGCTGTCTACAAGAGACCCACTTCAGACCTAGGGGCACATACAGACTGAAAGTGAAGGGATGGAAAAAGATATTTCATGCAAATGGAAATCAAAAGAAAGCTGGAGTAGCAATTCTCATATCAGACAAAATAGACACTAAAATAAAGACTATTACAAGAGACAGAGAAGGACACTACATAATGATCAGGGATCAACCCAAGAAGAAGATATAACAATTGTAAATATTTATGCACCCAACATAGGAGCACCTCAATGCATAGGCAAATGCTAAGAGCCATAAAAGGGGAAATCGACAGTAACACAATCATAGTAGGGAACTTTAACACCCCACTTTCACCAATGGATAGATCATCCAAAATGAAAATAAATAAGGAAACACAAGCTTTAAATGATACATTAAGCAAGATGGACTTAATTGATATTTATAAGACATTCCATCCAAAAACAACAGAATATACTTTCTTCTCAAGTGCTCATGGAACATTCTCCAGGATAGATCATATCTTGGGTCACAATTTAAGCCTTGGTAAATTTAAGAAAATTGAAATCATATCAAGTATCTTTTCCGACAACAACGCTATGAGATGATACCAATTACAGGGAAAAAAATCTGTAAAAAATACAAATATGTGAAGGCTAAACAATACACTACTAAATAACCAAGAAATCACTGAAGAAATCAAAGAGGAAATCACAAAATACCTAGAAACAAATGACAATAAAAACACGAACACCCAAAACCTATGGGATGCAGCAAAACAGTTTTAACAGGGAAGTTTATAGAAATGCAATCTTACCTCAAGAAACAAGAAACATCTCAAATAAACAATCTAACCTTACACCTAAAGCAATTAGAGAAGGAAGAACAAACAAAACCCCAAAATGAGCAGAAGGGAAGAAATCATAAAGATAGATCAGAAATAATGGAAAAAGAAATGAAGGAAACAATAGCAAAGATCAGTAAAACTAAAAGCTGGTTTTTTGAGAAGATAAACAAAATTGATAAAGCGTTAGCCAGACTTATCAAGAAAAAAAGGGAGAAGACTCAAGTCAATAGAATTAGAAATGAAAAAGGAGAAGTAACAACTGACACTGCAGAAATACAAAGGATCATGAGAGATTACTACAAGCAACTCTATGCCAATAAAATGGACAACCTGGAAGAAATGGACAAATTCTTAGAAAAGCACAACCTTCTGAGACTGAACCAGGAAGAAATAGAAAATATAAACAGACTAATCACAAGCACTGAAATTGAGACTGTGATTAAAAATCTTCCAACAAACAAAAGCCCAAGACCAGATGGCTTCACAGGCGAAATCTATCAAAACGTTTAGAGAAGAGCTAACACCTATCCTTCTCAGACTCTGCCAAAATATAGCAGAGGAAGGAACACTCCCAAACTCATTCTACAAGGCCACCATCACCCTGATACCAAAGGCAGACAAAGATGTCACAAAGAAAGAAAACTACAGGCCAATATCACTGATGAACGTAGATGCAAAATCCTCAACAAAATACTGGAAAACAGAATCCAACAGGACATTAAAAGGATCATACACCATGGTCAAGTGGGGTATATCCCAGGAATGCAAGGATTCTTCAATATATGCAAATCAATCAATGTGATAAAACATATTAACAAACTGAAGAATAAAAACCATACGATCATCGCAATAGATGCATAAAAAGCTTTCGACAAAATTCAACACCAATTTATGATAGAAATCCTCCAGAAAGTAGGCATAGAGGGAACTTACCGCCACATAATAAAGACCATATATGACAAACCCACAGCCAACATCGTCCTCAATGGTGAAAAACTGAAACCATTTCCACTAAGGTCAGGAGCAAGATAAGGTTGCCCACTCTCACCACTCTTATTCAACATAGTTTTGGAAGTTTTAGCCACAGCAATCAGAGAAGAAAAAGAAATAAAAGGAACCCAAATCGGAAAAGAAGATGTAAAGCTGTCACTGTTTGCAGGTGAAATGCTCCTATACATAGAGGATCCTAAAAATGTTACCAGAAAACTACTAGAGCTAATCAATGAATTTGGTAAAGTAGCAGGATACAAAATTAATGCACAGAAATCTCTTGCATTCCTATACACTAATGATGAAAAATCTGAAAGTGAAATCAAGAAAACACTCCCATTTACCATTGCAACAAAAAGAATAAAATATCTAGGAATAAACCTACCTAAGGAGACAAAAGACCTGTGTTCAGAAAACTATAAGACACTGATGAAAGAAATTAAAGATGTTACAAATAGCTGGAGAGATATACCATGTTCTTGGATTGGAAGAATCAACATTGTGAAAATGACTATACTACCCAAAGCAATCTACAGATTCAGTGCAATCTCTATCAAACTACCACTGGCATTTTTCACAGAACTAGAACAAAAGATTTTACAATTTGTATGGAAACACAAAAGACCCCAAATAGCCAAAGCAATCCTTAGAAAGAAAAACGGAGCTGGAGGAGTTAGGCTCCTGGACTTCAGACTATACTACAGAGCTATGGTAATCAAGACAGTATGGTACTGGCAGAAAAACAGAAATATAGATCAGTGGAACAGGAGAGAAAGCCCAGAGATAAGCCCACATACATATGGTCACCTTATTTTTGACAAAGGAGGCAAGAATATACAATGGAGAAAAGACAGCCTCTTCAATAAGTGGTGCTGGGAAAACCAGACAGCTACATGTACAAGAATGAAATTAGAACATTGCCTAACACCGTACACAGAAATAAACTCAAAGTGTATTAAAGACCTAAATGTAAGGCCAGAAACTATCAAACTCTTAGAGGAAAACATAGGAAGAACACTATGACATAAATCACAGGCAAGATCCTTTTTGACCCACCTCCTAGAGAAATGGAAATAAAAACAAAAATAAACAAATGGGACCTAATGAAACTTAAAAGCTTTTGCACAGCAAAGGAAACCATAAACAAGACAAAAAGACAACACTCAGAATGGGAGAAAATATTTGGAAATGAAGCAACTGACAAAGGATTAACCTCAAAAAGATACAAGCAGCTCAATATCAAAAGAACAAACAACCCAATCCAAAAATGGACAGAAGACCTAAACAGACATTTCTCCAAAGAAGATATACAGATTGCCAACAAACACATGAAAGAATTCTCAACATTCAGTGCAGAGGCTGGGTGACTGACTGTCACAGATGCTATTTAAAAGAGGCCTTCTAACCTTGGGATAGAAGTTTAAACCAGATGATTGGAAAGCTTAAAATGAGAGGATATTCTATCTGAAAAGGACCTTAGACAGTTGGTTTCCAAACATGATTCAGAATCAGAATCAGAATCACATAGAGAGTTTTAAAAAAAGATACAGATTTTTGAGACCTACTCCTATATCTTCTGTAAGTATATCTTACAGAAGTAAGTAAGTAAGTATCTCTCTGAAAGCCTGGTTGTATGTATAAAAAGATACGTGAGAGATTCTGTGAAGTCAGCTTGTTCCTGGTTATCAAATCAGCACTTGGAAACTGCTGACCTAGTCTGAACCCTTTACCTGTTTATTAATTAGCCCATTATTTTTTTATAGTGAACAGTCATATCATTCATTTAGCTAACACACAAGCTAATTTATTTAGTACTCTTCGGATTAGGTGCTGTTTCCTTTGAAGGAGACAGTGTAATATAATGGTTGAGAGTGCAGTTCTGGAACCAGAGTATCTGATTTCTCATTTGCCTCTTTCATTTCTTGTCTTTGTACTCTTCGGTGACTTTTTGGCAAGCTCTTTGCCACAGATTCCTCATTGTAAGATGAGGATAATAATTACAGAAGTTCACATTTTATTTTCTAAGATACTTTTTATGATTTAAGAAGGTCCTTTGTATTATAATCCAGACAGTCCAAAGAGATAATGTGCCAGTTAGGATTAAGTTTAGCTAAATAGCATATTAGAAAACAGAGAAAGCAGGGCTTTATACAAGGCGGAGGGTTATTGCTCTTTTCCATTAATGAAATCCAGAAGTAGGCAGCCTAGTATTGATGATGGTTTTTTATGAACATAAAAGAGGAAGGGAGAGAGGAAGTTTTTTCTTCCAGGAGGATTCCTCCCAGAAGTTGTACACAAAATGTGTATATAATTTCATTGGTCAGAATTCAGTCACATGGCACAAGAGTCTGGAAATGTCATCTCTTTTCTGGGTGGCCATGTACCTAGCTAAGAATTGAAGGTTCTGTAGCTTAGAAAGAAGAGGAAAGTGGATATCGGTATCTGCTCTACCACAATAACAATATGAATTTTATGGCTCTGATTGAATTCATTTGGGTATACAGACGCAAAGGAATCTGAACCTGGGTAAACCTTGGTCTTTGTCAGTAAGGGGGATTTCACATTGAGGGCTCCATCAGTCCAGTTGGTACAGGAATGTGCCTAAGAGCATTTTGTTAAACAGAAACATGGTCAGGTCTTCATTCATAGTTCATTAAACATTTTTGCATGAGAGCAGCAACTTTTCAGTAGACCTCGTTTATCAGTTGTCTTTCCTAATTGAATTCTTTTTTAGCTTTTAAGGGTGGTAAAAAGAAAAATGAAAGACTGTCTTTGATTAACTAATTGTATGAAGACTGTAGTAGAGATTTAATAAATCATAGCTGCTTTATTATTATTGCTATAAATATTTGATTAGATCATTTCCAAAGTCCTTTCCAGTTTAAAAATTGTCACTGGATTCTAGTTTTCTATTATTTTATATTTTGCTTTTTTTCATAATTTTTGCTTTGTTTTAAATATGAACCTCTGTTGTTGTTTTAAAATTCTAGTTCTCAGTTTTGAACCATATGGACTCTCCTTTTCTTCATCTGGCTTCTCTGGACGACAGTCTCCTGCTGGCATTTCTCTTGGTTCAGATATATCTGGGAATAGTACAGAGACCGGGCTAAAAGAGTAAGTTCCTTTCTTAAAATTGAGAACATGGGAGTGTTTAAATGTCTTTACATGTTGAAGGATTCCTGAAAGCTAAATTCTGCATGGGTTGTTGTTTCAGCTGTTTCTATTTATTGCTCTCGAGGTATTGATAGTGTATAGCCTGTCCTTGTACTTTAAGAGAGCTTGCTTACTTCCAAGACAGTATAGAATGTATACAAGCTTTACACATAGTAATGATGTGTGTGTTATTACTACACATCATGCATACACACACACACACACACATTTTTAAAGAAATGTATCAGAACTCATATACCCAGTGAGGTGACTGTTCATATCATTCTGCATTCCTCATAATGTACTTCTTATAACCATCTCATTGGAAGATTGACAAATATATAGATGAACATAAAGATGATGGACTTCACTTGAGAAAGCTGTGTACTTTGTTCAGAATACTTTCAGAGCTTCTTTCCAGCCACCTTGAAAATTGGTGATACATTTTTCTAAATGTCTTAACATGGAGTCAGATCTTCATCCTTGGGCTTCCCTGGTGGCGCAGTGGTTGAGAGTCTGCCTGCCAATGCAGGGGACACAGGTTCGTGCCCCGGTCCGGGAAGATCCCACATGCCGCAGAGAGGCTGGGCCCGTGAGCCATGGCCGCTGAGCCTGCGCGTCCGGAGCCTGTGCTCCGCAACGGGAGAGGCCACAACTGTGAGAGGCCCGCGTACAGCAAAAAAAAAAAAAAAAAAAAAAAAATCTTCATCCTTTTTAGGTAAATTTTGATTTTGGAAATATGAATAAATTACTAGAAATATGATTAAGTTAATAAAATGAGATAATGTATGTAAAGTGCCTCATACAACCCAGTACGTAATAAATGATTGATAAATGGTAGCTAAAATTAATAATTGTCATTGCTATCATTATTGTTATTATCCAAAAGCTGAATTTACTACATAAAATTAGTAGTCAAGCTGGATAACTTTGGTTAGTATACCAATGTGACATAAAGTAATGAAAATGGCTTTCTTGTTTGTGAAGGAGCTTCTTCTAAGAGTTCAAAAATGTTTTGAGAAATGGCAACACTGTTAGAATAAATGATAAAATCTCAAAGGTGACAACTTTGAAAGATGACATTTGAACAGACTCAGTAACCTTATTTTATGTTAGTCTTTGCATTTGTCAGTCTTCCAGTGATATGGTTATAAGAAGTATTTATCAGAAAAATAACACATAGATTATGAGGAATGTAGAATGATATGCTGATTGAAATGGCATAAGTTCAAAATCTCTTTCTTAGCGTTTTTTTCCTGCTCTGTTGACACCCTTTTCTTTCCCAGACATTTAATTTCAGTATTATAAGCATGGGGAGCAGATACGGTTTGTGAGCATGTGATGGTGGTGGTGATAGCAATTAAGTGCTTCAAACAGGGAATAGAGGGGCAAGGGAAGGAGAGACAGAAACCCTCCAAACCCAGGGAGGAAACGTAGTCCCTTTTGCCTGCACAACAGATGATGGCATCTGCTTTTTTAGTATTGAACTAGGATCTGGGGGACTTGACAGGGCCTTGTAAATCCTGTATGTGTACATGTACTACCCTCAGAGAAATGACATTTGGCAAAGCTGCTCAGGAATTATACATATGCTGGATAACCATGAAGTGCAACCTGAGGGATGAATTTAAAATTTCTTTCCAAAGAGGACCACAGCTCACACATTATTTCAGATTAGGAACCTAAGTGGTAATTGGTGAGGTGTATCAGCTTTAGAGAGGAGATGATCATTCTTCTGCAGTCTCTGGCAAGCTGAGAATAAAGTGGGGCAAGCCCAATTTAGCATTTCTTACCTTAAGCCCTATTACAGAGCAGTACCCTACCACAAATGGGAATTTCTAGAGCTCAAAGTACATTCCTAATCTTTTGAAGATTGCTTGGCCATAATCTACATCTGTGTTTGAATGGTCTGATTAAAAACAACACAGAGGTATACCGTATAAAACCATGAATTATAATATTATTGTTGTCAAAATCCAGGCAAAGATGACTTACGTTTAAAAATTTTTTATGTTATGTTTCATATCATAAAGAGGCATATGTTGTGTATGAAATGGTTTTATGCTGCTCTCTTATTTATCTACCTTCTTTTTAGACTTTCTGTATGTAATGCATGACAGTAAAAATTTATGTTGATAATAGGCATGTATTCAGGCTCCTTTTTCTTCCCCTTCTCATTTTTGCCTGTTATTGTGGGTTGAATTCCCTGGGGAGTGCATTCCAAGATGGAATTTAGCATGCAGAATATTAAGGAGTGCCCTTGGCATCAACAACTGTGGAAGGAAAGGAAAAGAAGAGGGTTTGGGCAGAGGAAGAAGTTAAGCAATGCAGTGCCAACAACAGTGTCTGCTGACCCCATAGGAAGCTCTGAAGCTAGAATGGCCCATCTGAGCTGTCCTAAGTTAGGCTAAAATGGGTGGCCAGGACTCTATACTTCTGTTCATCAATTATTAGATATGGGCTGCCCTGGAAAAGGGCATGATCTGCAACTGAGGTGACTCTGCAACTGAGGCAAATCCCTAAGGGTGCCATGCTCCTAACAGCTGCGCCAACAAAGTCCTTCATTGAAGGGGGATCTGGATGGAACATCCTAGGGTCTACCACACCTGCCTTTTTTTAGTTAAACTAATATTTGAATCATTTGGGGAGTTGCTCTTTTTTATTCCCCCCCCCAATAATTAAAGGATATGTTTTGGTAAACAGGGTTACAAAAAACACTGTAATCCTGCTGTGGGCATTCATGAATCCTTTTGAGTTGTTGCTGTTGAGCATCCTAGAAGTGCTGGGGTCATTTTAGGGGTTCCCCTGATGACTTTTTTGTCTGCTCACACAAGATCAACCAGTTTTCTTCTAAGAGGTTTGATAGATAACTAACAGTTTTTTTTTTTAACTTTTTAGAAAACTCTTTTGGTACCTGAAAGAAAGGGATGAATGAAGATATTTGTAAAGGAACATTCAACAGTAAAATTCATTGAGTAGGCATGGACTAATTCCCTATAGGACGTTCTTTATTAACATTAGACTTTCTTTTAGCCAGTTGGTACTTAATAGCATTAGTTCTTCACTCAGTATGAAGTATAATGATCTGTTTTTGTTTCTGGCATACTACAGAAAATCAAACTGACCATGATTCCAACAAATTAAAATGGAATAATAGTACAGATATTTCTGAATCCTTCTTTTAGATTCATTTCACGATCTGCCTATCTTGTAGTACAAATTTTAAAAATTCAGTTTTGGATCATGAGAGGGATACTTAAATGAGCCAGTGCCAAGGACACACGGTTCTTATATGAAAACAATAGAGGCAGTCTTTGGTTGTTTCAGCCTGCACTTATGATTCACAGCTGTAGCTTTTGGGACAACAGTAGGTGAGACCTAATTCTAATCACAACTTTATTCTTTTTCATCTCAGGTATAAAAAAACTCCTAAACTTCATGCTTTTTCCAAAAATACTACTGTTTTCTTCTACAGATCAAACTTCATTCATTTTTATAAATGTACATTTATAATAGTTGAAAGTGTAGCTTGTGCTCACATTAAGAAAACCTTGTGGATTAAAGGTAAATTTACACATAGGAGTAGATTTGAATGATTTTTTTTTTTTTGCTCTCAACAGGATTTTATGTAGTGAATTTATGTAGTGTTAATTCCTTCACTGAGTGATTATAGGTATGAAACTTATATCATTTCTGATCTTTAACCCATCAGAATTAAAGGTATTTTTGAAAAGTCAATAGGTGAAAGGAACTGATTTACAGTAGTTCTATTTTTGGACATCTTATTCAAGGAATTAAATGAAAATTAAATAATCTGAAATTTTTAACTAAGTCTAGAGTTCTGTTGCCTTAAATCTTTTGGCTGGAGAGTTAGGGGAGGTTGGCTATAACTAAAATAAAATCTAAAGATCTAGGTTTTATTTCTGGCACGTAGAATATAATATGAAAGCTATTTCTAAAAGGTCATGACAATGATGTGTTTTTAAAAACGCCTCAAGAAGGTAAGTATTTAGCAATTATTTAAATTGACTTGATTTCATTATCAATCTCCTTAGGACAAATAGCTTGAAGCTGGAAGGTATAAAGAAATTGTGGGGGAAAGAGGGCTATCTTCCCAAGAAGGAAAGCAAAACTGGTGATGAAACAGAAGCTCTGCCAGTCCCTCAAGAGAATATAATAATGGAGAATGTAGATCAAATTATAACAAAAAACGATCAATCTCAAGCCCTTACCCAATCTAAAGAAGAGAAAGAAAAGCAGCTGCTGGCATCATCATTATTTGTTGGGCTAGGATCAGAAAGTACAATCAATTTGGTAAGTAGTCAGTTATATTCCTTTGAGAATCTGTGTTCCCTGTTTTGAACAAAAAAACTGGCCCTACAAAAGCTCGTGACTGTTATCTATACACATGGTAGGAATGGCTTCCCCAGCTCCAGAGCCACCAGTGACATACCTTTTATATTCCTGAAAGAGAAAATCTAATTGGCTCAGCTTCAGTCAGGTATTCTCTTTAGTCCAGTCAGCTGGGGCAAGAGTCCGGGTCCAAATTAAGTTAAAAATATGACCATGTGTATTCTCACCCCCATTGGTGGAGAGGACAGGTCTCAGTGGAAAGGGGACTTGATGGAAATATTACCAATAGTAATAGTTCAACAATATTGATATGTCTATGGAAAAAGTACTTCTTAAAATGGTACTTTTAATAGTGAAAAAGAGGAATCAATTTTGATATCCTAACAGGAGAATTGGTACATAAATTATATTAGCTCTGATTATTACTTCATCATTAAAAATGATAAATATTGCATTGTAAAATTAATACTTATTAAGCAAAAAAAGCAGAATATGAAGTTTTACTTATACCTTGCTTAAAACTGTTAAGTAAAAGTATATTGAGGTTGAAAGGAATTACACAAAAATGAAAATTATATTCAGACATTATGATTATTATTTTCAAAACTTTTTATGCTGATATATTATTCTCTTAGTAAAAAAATAAAAAACTGGAGTGAAGGACAAGTGTTATTTTTGAGTATCTGAGAATTCCACATGTAATTTCCTGTTTGGTGGGCAGATGATCCCACCTAGTGCAAAACTGTGATTAGAGCTATATTTTCTTCAGTTTTACATCATCATAATTCTTTCATCCTCCATTTCCCTTGGTGGAATTTCCCTTCATCTCTGTCAACACTAGGCCAGTCTCTAGGCTACACTCTTTGCCTGTATCTCTTTCTTTTCCAGACCCCACTTTTTTCACTTGATATTCATTTCTGAGAAAAAGCAAATTCAGCCTAAAAGTATTAATAAGTATCTTAATGCTGTTTCAGTCAGCATTTGTAGTTCAGCAGCAGAGTGACTGATTTTGGGTCTTTGAGCTGTTCCAGCAGGCCGTGCTGAGGGTACCAGAGAATGATCTGGCACTGATAGGGCAAGTTCTCAGTGGTCAGAGTGCATCAAGTTCAGAGTGCATCCAGGCTTATGGAGCCCTGATTTGTGAACCTCATTGCTGGTGTTGAAGGATTCCTGCCTTCTCAACGAAGTGCATAGCTTTCACTTAGAGTATTTCCCGGGACAACATTCAGGGTGATAAATTAATTACCAGACTTTTTTCTGGTGGGCTTGAAATCAGAAATGTAATTAGGATGTTTTTCTATTTAAGTTAGGTTAAATCCTTTTTGGGTTACCCCTTTACATTTTTCTTGTCTCCTCAGCTATAACTAGAATAGTTGAAAAAAAAAAAAAGAGGTTATTTCCCTGTTTTATGGGGCCATGAATTCTGTGAGGAGCTATAACTCAGATGGCACCTTGCAGAAAGGAGGGGAAGCAAATAATTACATAAAATTAGCATGTATTCTCTTACCCCTCATCCCCAACTTTTCCTCTCTCACTCGGGCAAAGCAGACAGGATTGGCACTGGATATGCTTCATCTGTAAGTCCTTCTGCATGGCTGCTTTTCTCTAGCAATCCTATTCTCTTCTGACTTTCCTAGTGTTTAAAGTTCTCAGTTACATAGATCTAGGCTGTATTGAGTGTTTCATTTTAACTAGCTTTTAGGTCTGTGGTCCATTTTCAGTTAATTGTTTTACATAGTTCACTGTAGGGGTTAAGGTTTTTTTTTTTTCTCTTCCCATCTTAGCGTTTTATTTCACCGTCATTTAAAAAAGTATTTTCTCTGGGCTGTGAACCTGAGGTTGACTGTTTCTTTTTTTTTTTTTTTTTTTACATCTTTATTGGAGTATAATTGCTTTACAATGGTGTGTTAGTTTCTGCTTTATAACAAAGTGAATCAGTTATACATATATATATGTTCCCATATCTCTTCCCTCTTGCGTCTCCCACCCTCCCTATCCCACCCCTCTAAGTGGTCACAAAGCACCGAGCTGATCTCCCTGTGCTATGCGGCTGCTTTCCAATAGCTGTCTGTTTTACGTTTGGTAGTGTATATATGACCATGCCACTCTCTCACTTTGTCACAGCTTACCCTTCCCCCTCCCCATATCCTCAAGTCCATCCTCTAGTAGGTCTGTGTCTGTATTCCTGTCTTACCCTTAGGTTCTTCATGACATTTTTTTTCTTAGATTCCATATATATGTGTTAGCATATGATATTTGTCTTTCTCTTTCTGACTTACCTCACTCTGTATAACAGACTCTAGGTCCATCCACCTCACTACAGATAACTCAATTTTGTTTCTTTTTATGGCTAAGTAATATTCCATTGTATATATGTGCCACATCTTCTTTATCCATTCGTCCGATGATGGACACTTAGGTTGCTTCCATCTCCTGGCTATTGTAAATAGAGCTGCAGTGAACATTTTGGTACATGACTCTTTTTGAAAGATGGTTTTCTCAGGGTATATGCCCAGTAGTGGGATTGCTGGGTCATATGGTAGTTCTATTTGTAGTTTTTTAAGGAACCTCCAAACTGTTCTCCATAATGGCTGTACCAATTCACATTCCCACCAGCAGTGCAAGAGGGTTCCCTTTTCTCCACACCCTCTCCAGCATTTATTGTTTGTAGATTTTTTGATGATGGCCATTTTGACTGGTGTGAGATGATATCTCATTGTAGTTTTGATTTGCATTTCTCTAATGATTAATGATGTTGAGCATTCTTTCATGTGTTTGTTGGCAATCTGTATATCTTCTTTGGAGAAATGTCTATTTAGGTCTTTGCCCATTTTTGGATTGGGTTGTTTGTTTTTTTGTTATTGAGCTGCATGAGCTGCTTGCAAATTTTGGAGATTAATCCTTTGTCAGTTGCTTCGTTTGCAAATATTTTCTCCCATTCTGAGGGTTGTCTTTTGGTCTTGTTTATGGTTTCCTTTGCTGTGCAAAAGCTTTGAAGTTTCATTAGGTCCCATTTGTTTATTTTTGTTTTTACTTCCATTTCTCTAGGAGGTGGGTCAAAAAGGATCTTGCTGTGATTTATGTCATAGAGTGTTCTGCCTATGTTTTCCTCTAAGAGTTTGATAGTTTCTGGCCTTACATTTAGGTCTTTAATCCATTTTGAGCTTATTTTGTGTATGGTGTTAGGGAGTGTTCTAATCTCATACTATTACATGTACCTGTCCAGTTTTCCCAGCACCACTTGAAGAGGCTGTCCTTTCTCCACTGTACATTCCTGCCTCCTTTATCAAAGATAAGGTGACCATATGTGTGTGGGTTTATCTCTGGGCTTTCTATCCTGTTCCATTGATCTATCTTTCTGTTTTTGTGCCAGTCCCATACTGTCTTGATTACTGTAGCTTTGTAGTGTAGTCTGAAGTCAGGGAGCCTGATTCCTCCAGCTCCGTTTTTCATTCTCAAGATTGCTTTGGCTATTCAGGGTCTTTTGTGTTTCCATACAAACTGAAATTTTTTGTTCTAGTTCTGTGAAAAATGCCAATGGTAGTTTGATAAGGATTGCATTGAATCTGTAGATTGCTTTGGGTAGTACAGTCATTTTCACAATGTTGATTCTTCTAATCCAAGAACATGATATATCTCTCCATCTATTTGTATCATCTTTAATTTCTTTCATCAGTGTCTTATAATTTTCTGCATACAGGTCTTTTGTCTCCTTAGGTAGGTTTATTCCTAGATATTTTATTCTTTTTGTTGCAATGGTAAATGGGAGTGTTTTCTTAATTTCACTTTCAGATTTTTCATCATTAGTGTATAGGAATGCAAGAGATTTCTGTGCATTAATTTTGTATACTGCTACTTTACTGCTACAAATTCATTGATTATTTCTAGTAGTTTTCTGGTAGCATCTTCAGGATTCTCTATTATAGTATCATGTCATCTGCCTACAGTGACAGCTTTATTTCTTCTTTTCCGATTTGGATTCCTTTTATTTCCTTTTCTTCTCTGATTGCTGTGGCTAAAACTTCCAAAACTATGTTGAATAAGAGTGGTGAGAGTGGGCAACCTTGTCTTCTTCCTGATCTTAGTGGGAATTTTTTCAGTTTTTCACCATTGAGGATGATGTTGGCTGTGGGTTTGTCATATATGGCCTTTATTATGAGGAGGAAAGTTCCCTCTATGCCTACTTTCTGCAGGGTTTTTATCATAAATGGGTGTTGAATTTTGTTGAAAGCTTTCTCTGCATCTATTGAGATGATCATATGGTTTTTCTCCTTCAATTTGTTAATATGGTGTATCACATTGATTGATTTGTGTATATTGAAGAATCCTTGCTTTCCTGAAATAAGCCCCACTTGATCGTGGTGTATGATCCTTTTAATGTGCTGTTGGATTCTGTTTGCTAGTATTTTGTTGAGCATTTTTGCATCTATGTTCATCAGTGATATTGGCCTGTAGTTTTCTTTCTTTGTGACATCTTTGTCTGGTTTTGGAATCAGGGTGATGGTGGCCTTGTAGAATGAGTTTGGGAGTGTTCCTCCCTCTGCTATATTTTGGAAGAGTTTTAGAAGGATAGGTGTTAGCTCTTCTCTAAATATTTGATAGAATTAGCCTGTGAAGCCATCTGGTCCTGGGCTTTTGTTTGTTGGAAGATTTTTAATCACAGTTTCAATTTCATTACTTGTGATTGGTCTGTTCATATTTTCTATTTCTTCGTGATTCAGTCTTGGCAGGTTGTGCTTTTCTAAGAATTTGTCCATTTCTTCCAGGTTGTCCATTTTATTGGCATAGAGTTGCTTGTAGTAATCTCTCATGATTCTTTGTATTTCTGCAGTGTCAGTTGTTACTTCTCCTTTTTCATTTCTAATTCTATTGATTTGAGTCTTCTCCCTTTTTTTCTTGATGAGTCTGGCTAATGGTTTATCAATTTTGTTTATCTTCTCAAAGAACCAGCTTTTAGTTTTATTGATCTTTGCTATTGTTTCCTTCATTTCTGCTTCATTTATTTTTGATCTGATCATTATGATTTCCTTCCCTCTGCTAACTTTGGGGTTTTTTTGTTCTTCTTTCTCTGATTGCTTTAGGTGCAAGGTTAGGTTGTTTATTCGAGATGTTTTCTGTTTCTTAAGGTAGGATTGTATTGCTATAAACTTCCCTCTTAGAACTGCTTTTGCTGCATCCCATAGGTTTTGGGTCATCGTGTCTCCATTGTCATTTGTTTCTAGGTATTTTTTAATTTCCTCCTTGATTTCTTCAGTGATCACTTCGTTATTAAGTAGTGTATTGTTTAGCCTCCATGTGTTTGTAATTTTTACAGATCTTTTCCTGTAATTGATATCTAGTCTCATAGCATTGTGGTCAGAAAAGATACCTGATACAATTTCAATTTTCTTAAATTTACCAAGGCTTGATTTGTGATCCAGGATATGATCTATCCTGGAGAATGTTCCATGAGCACTTGAGAAAAATGTGTATTCTGTGATTTTGGATGGAATGTCCTATAAATATCAATTAAGTCCATCTTGTTTAATGTATCATTTAAAGCTTGTGTTTCCTTATTTATTTTCATTTTGGATGATATGTCCATTGGTGAAAGTGGGGTGTTGAAGTCCCCTACTATGAATGTGTTACTGTCGATTTCCCCTTTAATGGCTGTTAGTATTTGCCTTATGTATTAAGGTGCTCCTATGTTGGGTGCATAAATATTTGCAATTGTTATTTCTTCTTGGATTGATCCCTTGATCATTATGTAGTGTCCTTCTTTTTCTCTTGTAATAGTCTTTGCTTTAAAGTCTATTTTGTCTGATATGAGAGTTGCTGCTCCAGCTTTCTTTTGATTTCCATTTGCATGGAATATCTTTTTCCATCCCCTCACTTTCAGTCTGTATGTGCCCCTAGGTCTGAAGTGGGTCTCTTGTAGACAGCATATATATGGGTCTTGGTTTTGTATCCATTCAGCCAGTCTGCGTCTTTTGGTGGGAGTATTTAGTCCATTTACATTTAAGGTAATTATCAACATCAATATGTATGTTCCTATTCCCATTTTCTTAATTGTTTTGGGTTTTTTATTGTAGGTCTTTTCTTTTTCTTGTGTTTCTTGCCTAGAGAAGTTCCTTTAGCATTTGTTGTAAAGCTGGTTTGGTGGTGCTGAACTCTCTCAGCTTTTGCTTGTCTGTAAAGGTTTTAATTTCTCCATCAAATCTGAATGAGATCCTTGTTGGGTAGAGTAATCTTGGTTGTAGGTTTTTCTCCTTCATCACTTTGAATATATCCTGCCACTCCCTTCTGGCTTGCAGAGTTTCTGCTGAAAGATCAGCTGTTAACCTTATGGGGATTCCCTTGTGTGTTATTTGTTGTTTTTCCCTTGCTGCTTTTAATATGTTTTCTTTGTATTTAATTTTTGACAGTTTGATTAATATGTGTCTTGGCGTGTTTCTCCTTGGATTTATCCTGTATGGGACTCTCTGTGCCTCCTGGACTTGATTAACTATTTCCTTTCCCATATTAGGGAAGTTTTCAGCTATAATCTCTTCAAATATTTTCTCAGTCCCTTTCTTTTTCTCTTCTTCTTCTGGGACCCCTATAATTTGAATGTTGGTGCGTGTAATGTTGTCCCAGAGGTCTCTGAGACTGTCCTCAGTTCTTTTCATTCTTTTTTCTTTATTCTGCTCTGCAGTAGTTATTTCCACTATTTTATCTTCCAGGTCACTTATCCGTTCTTCTGCCTCAGTTATTCTGCTATTGATCCCTTCTAGAGTATTTTTAATTTCATTTATTGTGTTGTTCATTGTTGCTTGTTTCCTCTTTAGTTCTTCTAGGTCTTTGTTAAATGTTTCTTGCATTTTCTCTCTTCTATTTACAAGATTTTGGATCATCTTTACTATCATTACTCTGAATTCTTTTTCAGGTAGACTGCCTTTTTCCTCTTCATTTGTTAGGTCTGGTGGGTTTTTACCTTGTTCCTTCATCTGCTGTGTGTTTTTCTGTCTTCTCCTTTTGCTTATCTTACTGTGTTTGGGGTCTCCTTTTTGCAGCCTGCAGGTTCATAGTTCCTGTTGTTTTTGGTGTCTGTCCCCAGTGGCTAAAGTTGGTTCAGGGGTTGTGTAGGCTTCCTGGTGGAGGGGACTAGTGTCTGTGTTCTGGTGGATGAGGCTGGATCTTGTCTTTCTGGTGGGCAGGTCCATGTCTGGTGGTGTGTTTTGGGGTGTCTGTGGCCTTATTATGGTTTTAGGCAGCCTCTCTGCTAATAGGTGGGGTTGTCTTCCTGTTTTGCTAGATGTTTGGCATAGGGTGTCCAGCACTGTAGCTTGCTGGTCGATGAGTGAAGCTGGGTGTTGGTGTTGAGATGGAGATCTCTGGGAGATTTTGCCGTTTGATATTACGTGGAGCTGGGAGGTCTCTTGTGGATCAGTGTCCTGAAGTTGGCTCTCGCACCTCAGAGGCACAGCAGTGACTCCTGGCTGCAGCACCAAGAGCCTTTCATCCACATGGCCGGCCCGCTGTCCCCATGACTGTTGCGGCTTTGGCCACTGGGGCCCCTCCAGAGCCTGTAGCCTCAGTGAGGCCGCCCTCCCCTCTCACTCCGGGGCAGTTCCGTGACGGCGGAGGGAAGAGACCCCGAGCTGGGAGTTCCAGCTCTGCGGAAACCGACTGTTTCTTTTCTTTAAGTAATTTAACAAAGATGTCTGTCTGGTGTCTTCTGGCTTGTGTTAATTCTAACTAACAGCAGATTAGACAGTGCAGAAGAAAAGATCGGGGACTTCCCTGGTGGTCCAGTGGTTAAGACTCCACACTCTCAATGCAGGGAGCCTGGGTTTGATCCCTGGTCAGGGAACTAGGTCCTACATCGTACAACTAAAGATTCCGTGTGCCACAACTAAAGTCCTGCATGCTGCAACTAAAAGATCCCACATGCTGCAACGAAGATCCCGTGTGCCACAGCTAAGATGCAGCACATCCAAATAAATAAATAAATAAATATTTTAAAAAGTAAAGATAATACACTTGAAGACAAAGTAATAGAAACTATCCAAAATCAAACACAGAGAGAAAGAAAAGACAAAACAAAAAACAACCCAGAGCATCAGTGACCTGAGGAACAATATTGAGCTGTCTAATGTACATCTAATTCGAGTCCCATGGCTACTGGAAATGGAAGTCCTCCTCCCCCCGAAACGCCCAACTTTTAAAATTAATTAATTAATTAATTATGGCTGCAATGGTCTTTTCTAGTTGTGGCGTGTGGGCTCTCTAGTTGCATTATACAGGCTGTAGAGCACATGGGCTCAGTAGTTGTGGCACATGGGCTTAGTTGCGGTATGTGGGATCTTAGTTCCCCAACCAGGGATCAAACCTGGAGTGTGGAGTCTTAACCACTGGACTTCCAGGGAAGTCCCCCAACTTGTTTTCATTTTTATGTTAATATAATGTTAGTTCTTGTTTTTTGGCTTCTGAATTGAAAGGTAAGAGACAAACTTAGCTGCTGAGACTTGGAAGAGAGCTAGAATTCTGGTTAACTAGAATCGTGTGAAAGATGGCCACTCAGTGTTAAAGCCTCCAGGAGGATGAACTTAAAGTAGACCCAGTCTGCTGCACTGATTCTACATAGAACTTTGTGAGGCAAGGGGGCACTTGAGCCATCACTCTTCTTAGATGGATTCACAGACATTTCCTTGGGAGGCTTAGCGCAAGCATCACAAGTTTGCTGTTCCCATCTCCTGAGTCTGTACCAAACATCCCTAGTTACTTTTAGAATTCTTTCCGGCCGTGTGTTCCAGTAAGCCACACTAGCTGATTCTTGAGGTGAAGTCAGTTTTTCTTCCCTGTTTATCGACTCACAGGTCATGAAAACAGGATTATTATAGATTACTGAACCAAAGTTTGACCCATCCCTGTATTTGAGGGTATCTTAGCTTCTACAGGACAACTCTGGAAACTCAAAAAATGGCTAGCTTTCTCACTGTTTTTAATTTGTGCAGTTCTGTACTCTAGTTTTCTTAAGTCTAACAGGTTTTTAGAATTGTTCATGATTGACTTTTTGACATTATTTCTTTTTCTGATTTTATGTGTTTCTAGTGAGAAATAGATTTAGCTTACTAGTTCAAAGTTATGTAGCTGTCAGAATTTTAGGGCTTAACATTTTATTCATCTCTGAATTTTTGTTAATCTATGCTTTATAGGTAGAACCTTAGCAAGTTAGTACATTGCTCATTTGAAATTATAAAAAAATAGTTTAAAACTCATGACTTAGTAGAATGGTTTCTTTTTCTATTATTATGTTTTATCTTTGCAGCTAGGAAAAGCAGATACCCTTTCTCACAAGTTCAGAAGGAAATCAAAAGTCAAGGAAACCAAAAGCGGGCAAACAACCACTGCTCAAAATATGACCTGTTCTTCCTTTAGTTCTTCATCAAATGTGACTTATGAAGAAGACTATTATTTGGATCATTTGCAGGATAGAGGAGACAAAGAAGTAAAGAAATTTTCTCTTAATTCAGAACTTTTAGATTCTGAGTCACTCACAGAACTGCCCTTGGTTGAGAAAATCTCAAATTGCAGGCTGTCTACACCCTCTTTGTTTGCTGATAACAACATGGAAGTTTTTCACCCTCCTCAGTCCACTGCAGCCTCAGTTGCCAATGAAATCTCTTTAGCTGTTTCTTTGTTGGAAGAAACTACTGAACACATGCATTCAGATCTTATCGAGGTCTGTAATAATGAAACCATATCAGTGTCTTCTTACAAAATTTGGAAAGATGAGTGTTTGTTGATGGTCTGGTCAGTTTTTAATAAGAGTGCTTCAGAACTGAAAAGTGCTAACTTAGAAATTGCTCCTGCAGAAAATTTCAAGGTAAGACAATGAATTACTTAATGTTTCTTAGTGTAAGAAACATTAGTGTTTCTGCTGTTGACTCATCTGATGGCTTGTAAATTTCTCCCACACCCTTCTTTCCTCTTTAGCAAAAACAGTGAAAGGTGTGACAGATTGTTTTATTATTTTAAGTAGGAAAAATTTATTCAAAAGAGACAAGGAAACATAATAAAGATGTATTGGGGAAGACTGAGAAAACTGACCCAATTTATTCTATGAGCTAGAATATATTGAATGGGATACTACCTGGGCCTGACCTGGGCAGAAGTTCCTGACTGTAGATGTGCATTAGAATCACCTGTGGAACTTAAAAACACAAAACAAAACCCAATTCAGTTGTCTGAGCTTTACCACCAGAGCTTGAGTAAGGGTGGAGAATGAGAGGGAAAGATTTTTTTTTTTTTTGAACTCTTCTAGCTTTAAAAATTTGGTGCTAGGGACTTCCCTGGTGGTCAAGTGGTAAAGAATCCACCTTCCAATGTAGGGACACAGGTTCGATCCCTGGTCAGGGAACTAAGATCCCACATGCCCCAGGGCAACTAAACCTGCGCACCACAACTACTGAGCTCATGTGCCTCAACAAGAGCCCGCATGCAGCGAACTATAGAGCCCACACGCCCTGGAGCCTGTGCACCATAGCTAGAGAGAAGCCCACGCACCACAGCGAAGAGCCTGCGTGCCGCAGTGAAAGATCCCGCATGCCTTAACGATCCCACATACCTCAATGAAGATCCTGCATGCCACAGCTAAGACCTGATGCAGCCAAAAAAAAAATAAATTAATTAAAAAAAAAAACTGGTACTAGCTAGTATTGAGAGACACATGACTAGAGTTTAATCTGTTTTTTGTTGTTGTTAAACCATACAGACATTTTCATTGTAATACCATTTGTTACATAATTCATTGTAATACCATTTGATACATAATTCTGACCTATGTATTATTATTTCTTAATTGTCTGTGCTAGTGAATTTTTCTCAGGTGAAGTTGTCAGTTATCTTCATGGTGTGGCTTGTTATTAACATCTCACAATTGTATGCTTTTGTACCACTTCAATTAAATAGAAAATAGTTATTCATATGATAGCCTGTATTGATCCCTTCTTCAATACTTACATTACTTTTATTTACAGATCACTGAGCAACCTGGATGCTGCTTGCCTGTAATAGAAGCAGAAAGCACCAAAAACTTTCAATACAGTGTGCAGATGGAAAAACCTTTTACAGAAGGGAATCTTTCTGGTTTTATAAATTATCAAGTGATGGATACTCATTCTGTTCAGCTCGAATTTTCAGTAAACTTATCACTATTAGATTTCATTAGGTAAATATTTTTTAGAATATCAATTCAAGTTATTCCTTCATTCAGCAAATATTTATTAGGCCTCTTCTCTGGACAGAGCACTGTACTAGGTGCTAGGGAGTGTAACAACTCAAAACTACATATACCTCTGCGTTTAGGGAGTGTTCAGTCTAGGGAGGAGACATCGAACAATCACATAAATGCATGTATAATTGTGAATTGTGCTATGAACAGGAAGTAAATGATATGATGGGCCATTATAGTGTGGGACCTGATATAGGTTCGAGTTGGCTGGTGATCTTGCAGAACTTCCGAGAGAAAGTAATATTAAAGTAATGTTTAAACTGAAATAATTTCAAAGATTCTGCCTGACTTTTTAAAAAGCTTTTAAAGTTTTTTTCATTTGTGTTTCATTTATTTGATTAATTCTTTCGTAAAGTCTGTTCATTAAAGTTTTAGAGATCTGCAAGAAAATGGCTCAACAAAGTTACTAAACTTTTATTAGACATACAGTATTTAGTATTTTACTAGCATTGTGCAGTTACCCAAATAATTGAAAACAACCTTTTAACCTTTCTGCTCTTATTTAGTATTATGAATATATTATACTGTATTCAAACATTTTTAAAAATGAAGCCTGCCTGAACCAAGAATGCAGAATACCAATGAATATCTGTAAAAAATTTTTTTAACCTTCACACATCTACCTGTGTTAGACTACTGTAATTTTTGCCCATTCTTTAAAGTCTTTTAGTAAGAACATGTTTATAAATCTGTCAGAGTATTTATTTATACCTGTGGTGCTGAAAAGATAGAATCTAGCCTTCAAAAAACTTACATTGGGCTTCCCTGGTGGCGCAGTGGTTGAGAGTCCGCCTGCCAATGCAGGGGACACGGGTTCGTGCCCCGGTTCGGGAAGATCCCACATGCCGCGGAGCGGCTGGGCCCGTGAGCCATGGCCGCTGAGCCTGCACATCCGGTGCCTGTGCTCCGCAACGGGAGAGGTCACAGCACTGAGAGGCCCACGTACCGCAAAAAAAAAAAAAAAAAAAACTTACATTCTGTGACTATGAAGGTATGTCCCATGGTGAGCATTAGTAACCTGAAGAAGCACAATATGACACAGACGGTTCTTCTGTGCTTATTAATAAAATCCTCTGTATCTTAAAAAAATATTTTTCCTAATTATAAATTCAATACATAGTTATAAAGATTTAAATGCTATAGAAAAATATAAGTAGAATATAAAAATTTCCTGTAATTCCTCTCAGAGATACCCCATTGTTAACTATTTGATCTTCAATCACCTGAACCATTTAAAAAATACATTTATTAAGATCCTTTCTCTTGGTCCAGTTTGCTTAAGGTGCTAACTCTTTGTATTCTTACTCTTGTACATGACTTTGATAGAGTATCTCATCCCCAAATCTAAAGTATGCATGAAAGAAAAGTTTTATATTTGAATGATTAATGAAATTACTTGGTGAAATTTTACTGTAATGACTAATACTCAGAAAAAGAGAGAACTGGGTGATTTATTGAAAAGACATTTGTTCTTTAATAACATTTGCTTTCAGCATTTTCTTCAGGTTGGAGGATAATGGTAAGTATTCTAATCGTATTTGGTTTAAAAAACATAGATTTTGTGGGATTAGATTTACAGTGATTTTTTTTATTCCCATGAGTCATTTGAAATGTATTTGTCTGTTTAGAATCGTTTCATTCTTAATGGACATAAATCTAATTTTAAAAATTATTTTCAGGCCATTAAAAATCTCGACTGAAGACTTTGGTAAACTCTGGTTATCCTTCGCAAATGATGTGAAACAAAATGTGAAGATGTCAGAATCACAAGCTGCTCTGCCTTCTACCTTAAAGGCCCTGCAACAGGAACTAAGACTTCATGTTGTTGACATTATAGGTTTGTAGTGTTCTAAAAAGGCAATCTTGTGTTTATAGGGGCTTTCTTACAATCAGATAGCAAATCAACTCTTAGAAGTGTCAGATTTCTTAGAGCTGTATTTCATGTTATGAGTATCTTTCAGATAAGTGTGTTGTTCAGACTTTATTAAAGAATTTTTCTGTGTGGTAAAATATACATAATGAAATTTACCATTTTAACCATTTTTAAATGTACAGATTAGTGGCATTAAATACATTCATGTTGTGCAGCCATTGCCACCATCATTTCCAGAACTTTTTCCTCTTTCCTAACCAAAACTGTACCCATTAAACACTAACTCCCCATTGCCCCTCCCTCTCCAGCCCTTCGCAACCACCATTCTATTTTCTGTCTCTATGAATTTGACTACTCTAGTTACCTCATCTAAGCAGAATCATACAATATTTGTCCTTTTGTGACTGGCTTATTTCACTTATCATAATGTCTTCAAGGTTCATCTATATTATGTGTCAAAATTTCCTTCCTTTTTAAGCCTGAATATTGTTCCATTTTACGAATATACCACATTTGTTTATCCATTAATCTTTTGACGGACACTGGGGTTGCTTCCACCTTTTGGCTATTGTGAATAACGCTGCTTTGAACATGGGTGTACAAATAAATCTGTGTTTGAGTCCCTGCTTTCAGTTCTTTTGGTTAGATACCCAGAAGTAGAATTGCTGAGTCATATGGTAATTCTATATTTAATTTTTGGAGAAACTGTTGTGTTGTTTTCCACAGCAACTGCACCATTTACATTCAGCAATGCACAGGGGTTGCAGTTACTTCACATCCTCACCAACATTCATTTATTTATTTTGATAATCACCATCTTAATGGGTATGAACTAGTATCTCACTTTAGTTTTGATTTGCATTTCCTTAATGATCAGTGATGTTGAATATCTTTTCATGTGCTTATTGGCCATTTGTATATCTTCTTTGTAGAAATGTCTGTTGAAGTCTTTTTGTATTAAAGAATTTCTCACTTTGTTTTGCTGTAGGCAATGAAGGGCTGTTGGCCTGTCAGCTGCTCCCATCCATCCCCTGCTTGCTGCATTTCCGAGTTCATGGTGACATGTTAGCCCTGTGGTTCAGATCCTCCTGCTCTACTCTTCCTGATTATTTACTGTATCAGTGTCAAAAGGTGATGGAAGGATCCTAGCAGAAGCTCTGCTTATATTTTACTCCCTCAAAATAAATTGTTTACATAGATAAACTTATTTACCAAAGTAAAAAGGACTCATGGTACTTCTAATGAAAATGGGGATTATTATAAGTGTGGTTTTATGTGTTTTCTTTATGATTCCTGATCAAGAAAGATCCCCAAGAAACTGTACCCCTAACCTTTTACTCAGGATTGTACAGTATGTTTGGGTCCTAAAACAGTGACCTAAGCTAATGTTATAAACTGCTAATGATTTATATATCACTTAGTGTAGAGGGACTGAAAATATTTATTTTGTTATAAATAATTTTATAGCAGATTTACTCTAGTGCTGCCTGATGTATAGTAAATCCAAGTCTCAGTCCTCTGCATTAGTGGAGGGGAGACATGGACTTAATAATCCCAAATCGAATTCAGATTTGGCTTTGGAATGCAATGTATGCTATTTGGTAGGCAAGTCATTACTTTCAATAATGTTTTGCTTAGATCAGTATTGAACTAAGTTGACACAGCACACACTAATAGTTCAGGAGATCCATGAGCATGTTGGATATTGGGGGGATCCAATCTGTGGTACAGTTTTTTTTTTTTTTTTTTTTTTTTTTGTGGTACGCGGGCCTCTCACCGTTGTGGCCTCTCCCTTTGCGGAGCACAGGCTCCGGACACGCAGGCTCAGCGGCTATGGCTCACGGGCCCAGCCGCTCCGCGGCATGTGGGATCCTCTCAAACCGGGGCACGAACCCATGTCCCCTGCATCAGCAGGCGAACTCTCAACCACTGTGCCACCAGGGAAGCCCGGTACAGTTTTTATTATAGGTAACTTGTTACACATAATTGCAGACAGTTAGGCTATAAAATTTGTTTTCCACTTGCGTTTATTTTTAAAATTCAAAATGAATCACTGTATTCTTGTTTTACAAACTCAGAGCCATTTACAAAATATTGTATAGAAACAAAACCTGTAAGAGCACACAGTACTAAAGCAAACAGGTATAAAAGGACTTTTCAGTTATGGCAAATATCTTAGTTTCCACTTGAGTTTTTTTTTTTTTGGCAAATTAAAATTTGTGATTAGAGTATAAATGGCAAAACCATCTTTCCTGGGCTTTGAATCCACTAGTACTCAATGGATACAACCAGAAGAGTGACTGTCTAAGTATACCATACAGGTTCTTCAGTAAAATATATGATTTTTATGTTATAGTTGTGCCTATATATATGGCCTTTGTCAGAAAAGAGGTTAAGCCTAATATGAATGATAGACCAGAATCTTGAGATTATACATTAATGTTAAAAACTGAAGTAGTATTTTATAAAACCTTATGGTGCTGTGGAAAATATTTATTATTTCACTTTTTCTGATACTTCACCATGGAAACTATTCAGGTAATATAGTTTTAAGGCATTGCAGTTAATACTCTGGTTAATTGGTACTGTTTATCACCTGGGTGTGGAATTGTGGTTTTAGGTTATCTCATTATTAATCATAGCTGATAAAGATGCTGAGGAGATTCCCCAAAGCTGATAGAGTTCATTAGTCATTTGTGTTTAGCGTATCTCTCCCTAAAAACAAAAGCAGCATTAAAAAAAATTAATTTATAAGTTACTCATAAAAAAAATAACACGTTAATTTCATGCTTTTGAAAAACATACAGTGAAACCTTGCTGCAAGAGCAATGAGAAGTGGCTAGAATTTCCTGAGTAGGTTTCTTCTTTTGAATAGAAGATCAGATTCATCCTCAAGCTCCCAGCAGTGTCATGATGAAGGGAATGTGAATGATGGGGGAGTGGTGGACACTGGTGGCTAGACTCATCAGCTTTCTCTTTATTCCTGCGTCTGTCAGCAGCACCCTCCCACCCTACCTGGTTCTGCTGATGCTCTGACAAAGAGATAGGAAGTGCCCTCTCACTTTGCAAAGGAATGTAGAGTGTGGCAAAAGAGGTGCTTCTGGTTTTTGTGTCCCTGTTTCCATGTGTTTGCATGGTCACCAAGGCTGGGTGTGGAGCAGTGGATGTAAGGTGCCCAGCAAGCAGATGGACAGCTAGCTGGGAGAGATTACAGTGAGCTACTGTGCCGCTTTGTTACAGGGTGTTCATGGGTGACAGTAGCAGTTGTCATGAGAGACATGCTTGGCCTACAGCTCTGTCTAATGGTGGGAAATGTGTAATGGTAGGTTAGGGCTGGGAGCATGATTTGGGGTCTGCCAAGGGGAACATGGTGTCACTTTTGTTCTTTCTAAACCCACTACATAGAAAGTAGGGTAACAGTTTCTACTGAAATGTTTAGTAGAATGTTTACATTTTTATATTTTTATGGTTTTTAAAAACAAACAGTAATAGGAAAGAGTAGATTTTAAAGAACTTTAGAGCAGTATATATTCTACCTAAACTAATTAATGTTTTAAGTTCTAGATCAGGCATCACCAACCTTTTTTGCATTGTAGGAGATGTGGTTATGAAGTAGGAAGAACAATTTTTGTGGGCAGATCGTCTCTTTACCTTCTAGTCATAATTTAGTCAAGTAAAGGGGCCACATCTGGAGTGAGAGCTATTGTGGGGCAGACTCAGCTGTGTGAGTTCTGTGCTGGGCATCTTTGCTGAGAATGCAGGTGGCAGCAAGTGTGAATCTGGGGAGAATGAAGGGAAGACAGGAAAGCCTTAAGAGCAGGTGGAGCAAGAAGGATCAGGCTCCCACCAGAATAGTCCCTGTGGAGTCAGGCAGATTAGTCTCAGGAGAATGTGGGCTCCCGAGTAAGGGTCCTTCTGAAAAAACTGCAGATGGAGGCCGAGCAGTTACCAAGTGCTAATGTGCCAAGCATGCCAAGCGCCACAGACGCTCTGCAGAGGAGCATTATTCAAGACAATATTCTGTCATCTACCAAAACAATTGTGGTGAAAATGCAGTATTTTATTTGTTCCTTTATTTTAGTTCATGTCATGAATATTTTAAAATATCGAGGTTTTTTTTTTTTAATGGATAAATGTGGTCTTTGTCTCATGATTTTGAGTCACTAAAAGTGCACTGAACCGATTCACATGTCTTTTAAGGTGTTTGTTTTCAAAATTTAGGAGGGAAAAATGCAAGTGAATAACAACTTACCAGGCATTAATTACCTTATTTTGGAGTTGAATTCTGTAATATGAAAAAAATCATTTAAACGTAATAAATATTAAGTGATCTATATTGTTCTTTGGTTTATATATATGCTTTATCATCTAAATAGCTGAATAAAAGTAATACTATTCAGTAATTAGATAGGCATTAGCTAAAAAGAGCAGAAGCAATTGGAATGGGATGAAAAGAGTAATATACTCATTACAGCCCCAAAGAATGTCATCTAATTGGTTAAAAATAAAGATAACTGCTCTTTCTATATGATGTTCAGAGAAAACTTTATGGGCTTCCGACAGGTTAGAGCATGGATCGATCCTCAGGTGCCTGTCCCTATCCCCTGCTTTCATCCTGGCCTGACCAGAGCATTCAAAGCAGAGTGCTTTGTTTCTGTATTCCTCTCCTCAAGATCCAAGAAACACGGTAAGTCAGGTGGTGACTTAGTGTCCAAAGACTCTGAGTCTCCTGGCCATCTCTGTATTGTGTATCCTAAAACACAAAGCTAGATCAGAAATGGTATTTGGATCTCACTGATGCCTCTTGTTGGCTATACTGTGTAGCAGAAAAAATGTTCTGAGACTTGAAACCCCATCTTTGGGCCGCAGAAGGTAAAGGAGGTTTAAATGCCTCACACCCACTGCAGTAACTAAAAAGAAGGGTGGCCTGCAGCCAAATGGACTGGAGTTGATGATTATATGGAAATTACTCGTTATGTGTGTGCATAATGAGAGACATGAGCTTTTTATGGTTAGGAACCAGGTGTGTATTTTTATGTCCCTTTTGCCTGGTACCTGACAGTCACGCAGTTTATTGAATGAATGACTAAAGAGACCTGTTCCCTCAAAATAAGTAATCTAAGACCACGTAACATCCAGGGATTGATTTTAGTGATCCTGTGGCTCTCCCAGAAATAAAGAAAAGTGATCTGATCTGGTTTAAAGATATAAGTCAGCAGAAAAGCGTTCTAGTGAAAATAGCTCGTGCCAGTTTGAACCAGGTAGGAGAGAGAAAATATGACCACTTGATGAGAACCTTACCAGCTTAAGGCTAAGTCCCATGATAATTTGCCATGTCATTTAAGAGATCTCTGCAAATGCAGTGTGATTACAGCTAGAAGTTATGACTTGGCGAATGGGGACTTTGATGTCCACGAAGTTTTACTGGTCTAGAAGAACTTGTTCTAGGACAGGAAGCAGTAGACATTTGGTCAGTGAAGTTAAAGATAGGGAGCTAGTGAATATGATAAGGCAGATTTACCAGCTATATTAGTATCACTTATTTCTTTATCAAAGTAAGAACTGATAATGGGAGAGACAACTGTATTGACAATAATGTCAATAGTGTCAGGAAAGTTGGGAAAGAACTGGCCCTCTGGGATGAAGCACAGGAAAAGGAGTTATTTAAAAGGAAATGTGTCTCATTTGCATCACATGGGAAACTTTATGGATCCAGGATAGGAGGATACCCACAAAAATGAATCCCAGAAAACTGTGAAAACTTAAAGATTGTGGCTTGGATGCAGAGCAGATGGGCCTACGAGTGGGGAGGGTCAAACATGTTTACCTATAATGCTGAAAAAATAATGGGTCCTTGTAAGTGGTTGCAGCTAGTTTATGGGCTTTTTTCCAAGAGAGGGAATCAATTTCCTTTACTTATTTTAAACTGTTTTCCTAAGTGGATGCATACTTTTCCTTTCTTAAAACATTAAGTTGCCAATGTGACTAAATGGCTGACTTCAGGAAGTTTTTTCCCTGATGGGGTCTGACAGGACTTATGCCAAATGGTTAGAGACTAGAGTCTAGAGATTATTTGTGCTTCAGTGAGAGAAAAGTGATTAGAAATTTGTTTGCACATCTTCTCCACCCTTTATATTATGTGACAAATAGGAACAGAGGCAAGGCTTATATATTCTTAGGGAGAGGCATTTGGTCTGACTTGCTACCACATAATTTAATAAAG